GATGGTCATTTCTAGCAACTTCTGGAGCCATCATGGACTGGCCAAACCGGAGGATCTCATTTGCTAATATCGACAAAGATGTCTTCACAGAAGCTGTCCCGTACAACAGCAAAGCAGGAAAATGCCCTGCAACAGAGGAGTTTGAAGAAAAACTTTGGAGTGACGAAGAACCTGCTAAGCAAAACAAGGACATTTTAAAAAAGACTTTTCTTAGGACAAGGTCTTCTTCATCTGACTAAGTCACGTCCTACACCAAGTCGAGCTAAACGACTTAAACCAAAAGAGCTTAATGGGAGGCAACCCATTTAGATATTGTTTTCTTTAGAATTTTTTTTCTTTTTCTATTGATCTTTTTTTTTAGATATTCTTTTTCTATTGATCTTTGTTTTTTCTTAGACTAGTTACAACGGTTGTTTATTCAACTGTTGAATAATTTGTTTAACTGATGAATCTCCACAATGAGGTGTTGAATAAAAAAAGAAAAATGATGTGGATTCAGAATTGTTGAAAAGATTCAACAAGCGTGAACAAAAATTGTGGGGTATTCCTATGACACTTGGCAAGTTTTGATTTGTTTACAAAAATAATCATATAATAATATAAAGATAGTGACACGTGTTCAATTCTTATTGGTTGCTGAGATTCTTGATATTTTTTCTCCCCAAATCATTTGACATCAATTATTTTATAGAAAATATATTTGATTTAATTTTTTTTATACCAAAATTCATCATTTTTCCATTTCATTTGGACAGAAAAAAAACCATCTTTTTTTTACTATATTTAGTGTAAAATCATAAAAGATATAAAATTATAAAATAAAAGTAGTGGGGTAGAGTGTTGAATTTTTTATTAAACAAAATCATTGTAAATATAAAAGTTGAATTGTCTGTTGAATGATTAGGTGGAAGAGAGAGAAGATAATGTGGAGTGTTGAAAGAGAATAAAGAAGGTGTTGAAAAAGAAAACCATTGTACATAGTCTTAGTTTCAGGTGTTTCTTATAAATAAAAAAAGCCAAAAAAATCAAAACACCAGAAAAAACCATAAAGAAAGATGGTATCTGACTGTTGCCCAAAAAAAAAAAAGAAAGATGGTCTCTGACTGCTCGGCCCAGTAGAAACCAAAGAGAAGCAGGAACAGGCCGCATTTAAGCCCTGCGGTCCCATAAGTTTGGACTGCGGCCAAGCCTACAACGACCACGGCTTCGTACTTGTGACCGCAGCCAAACATATCTCACCTGCGGTCGTGTGAGCCTGGACCGCAGGAAATGGTCGTTCACATGACCCCCAACCCCAGACCACCAACTTTCATCCATTCCACCTCACCAAATTCCATTCCACCTCATCCATCACTTCCCACCACCTCCCATCACCATTTCTCTTCCATTTATCGCCTTCCCGCATCCTTCCGAATCGATCCGGTTTTCCCGTCAGCATCCTGGATCCAGGTAAGTTCCCTATAGCTTGCCTACTTTGATATATTTATGCATTTTTCTCATCCAATCTCGACTTCTTTCAAACGGAGGACAGTGTGATTTAAGTCTGGGGGAGGATGTCATCCCTTTCTAACCACTTTTTTTTCATGAGTCTTGTATTATCTACATTTTTTTTCATTTTCTTTAAAGTTTTTGAAAAATGGTTTTCAAAACAAAATCGTTTTAAAGGGAATGGTGAACATGAATCAATGATAGTTGACTGTGTGCTTTTAGACTGTTCCTAATGACATACTCATTCATGATTTAGGACTAGACTAGGCGGTAGCTAAGCACATTTGAAACAAATTACCCCAGAGATATTTGAATGATTTTGATTTAGATAAAGGAATACACTAGCTCTGTTTTATTTGGACTTAACATTGACTTAATTTTCTCATTGAAGCATTAGACCAGGGAAATGAATCATACATTTAGGACTCCTTTACCCTTATTATCACTCTATGTTGATCATGAATGGCTAGTTCACCTTTAGCTAGTTCCCCACCTTAACCCAACATCTTTCGAACCACATGCACTCTTGTTTTCCATTGTCTTATATACATATATGTGCAAAAACGTCGGAGAGAAAGAGGAACGACATAGTTTTCAATTACTAAGACGCAGAACTGCTATTTTGCCGAAAATTTTACCAGAAGGATTCAACAAAGGAGAAAATTCAGCTTGCTTCAGAAAAATCGCCAAACATTGGTACATTTTCGTCCTTTAGACTCTCTCTCTCTCTCTAAAAAGGTTATTTTCCCTTTCTAAAAAAATCCAAAAAAGAAAAGAAAAATAAGAAAGAAAAGGAAATAAAACCTTAGAGGGTCTAAGAGCATCGATTTTATCCTTGGGACAAGCTATAGTTTGATTATATGGAGTTTTGGAGATCAATTTTCTGATTTCCAGAAAAGATCTAAGTCTGGGGGAACATCTATTCACAACAAAGGAGGAAGGATTATACAACAACATTGGACAAGAAGAAGTGACTGAAAATTGCGGACATCAACATGTCCACTCTCTCTCTTGCGCTTTTGCATAATATCTTGCATCCTCCAGATTCATCAGGTAACCCGAACTATTTTAACTCCACCACTGAAACAGCCCTTAAATGCCAAACACTGTCTACCCTAGATGATGTCTTTGATGAGAATTCACTATTGCACTTAATGAATATAGAGAGCTAGTTGACTGGAATCGAGATTTAGATTGTTTAAGTTTTGCATGACGGAAAAAGTGGACTAGTATCTTTTGTGTCTTGGTGAGAATATTCTAGACTAAGTTGTGGATTGATGTACGATCTATGGTCCTAGTTTAGGAGTTCATGTCTCTGAGATTTGTGTTCCCTATTTTGTTTTCACTTCACCAGATTGGATCTCTGCTTTATTTGGGGACAAACAAAGGTTTAAGTCTGAGAGAGTTGATAATACCATATTTTGACCACTTTTATGGATCGTTTTAAAATACTTTTTCTATTGCTTTCAAGTTTTTTAATTATGTTTTTTTAGTATTTGTAGTTTTCAAGACTCTTTTCAGGAAACTTAGGAAAAAGCTTAACAAAATGGATCGAAGACCAGATTCCAGCTCAGAGTCAAACCATCAGAAGTTCACCCCCAAATGAAAACCTTCTCACCATCTGATCCAGCTCAAAGATGGAACTACCAGCTTTACAGAACACTTTACAGAACGGAAATCCAACGGTTCAACCAAAAGTTACGCGAAGAGCAAGATGTCCCGTAAACCAGCCGACAAGCATTCGTACCCGCTGCCAACACCCATTTTGCACCAATCCCATCCTTCCCGACCGCGGAGAATGGTCTGTCCGACTTCGAAGCCCATTTTCAAGTCCAAAATGATTCTCTCATTTGGAGAAACCCAAAGTGACGCCCATAAATGACTTGAACACTATAAATACATGTTTTAGGAACTCTAAGTCGTATGCTCTTTTATGCTTATGAATACTTTTTAGGTTTTTCAATACTTTGCTTTCTTTTAAGTTTAGGGAGATAGAGATCTATCTCTTGAACCCTCTTTGTTTATTCTTCAATATCGATTTCTATTCATCTTTTCAATACAATGTTTTTGTTTTCTTTAATCATGTCTGAGTAGTTCTATTGTTAGGTTTAAGGGATTTTTGATGGGGGCTATATATGTTCGATGAGGATTCCATTAGCTATTGAAGCCGAATCCTAGAATTTTTTCTTCTAAACTTATTTTTAATGCATGAGAGTAGCGTCATGAACTACAATATGATCTCGGTCCTTGATGGTGCGAAAGTATTCATCTAAGACCAGATCTAGTTTGAGAAGCAGATGAACCATATATAGGAGTGGAAATCTGCTCACCAGCAGGAAGAAGATCCTTATGGTCCTCCTTTACATTTTAAAGACACCACCAAAACTCCAAAAAAAATCGTTTGGTTCTAGACTTCTTTGCCGAAGAAGAAGTCACGACTCACTATTCACAAAGTTTGGTTTTTTTTTCTAGTTTCTAGTTCTGAGTCAAATTGACTATCGTCTCACATATATACGTCAAAGCGATTCATATCATAAACCAGGAACAAAGTTTAGATCCAAGTACAAGAATCAGAAGGTTTCTGTCACTCCTAATACAGTCCAGGATTACAATGAAGTAGCCAGCAAACAAGGGGGAGTAAAGTCTAAAGATGAACAAGATTACTTATGTGACAAGGAATTAAAATTCAGGTGATCAGAATCCATAGCTCTTCGGTTTGAAAGTATCCGATCTACCTCGCTTAGGTTCGAGTGCAGATATACTCTTTATATCTATCTCATTCCTCATGATCATCTTCACAAGCTTTCTCTTCCGGACAATATCATCATCATCAGTTGTTAAAAAAAAAGACCAAACTCTTTAACCCACTGAGTTCTTGACAGAAAGGAGCCACCGCTCTCAGCAAGCAAGTGGTTGTCGATATTGGACGTGGCTTCTTCTTCCATACTAGCGCAAGCCATTATTTCCTGGTGTTGAAGTTTAAATCTGAGGGCTCTTGCTTCGATAATTCTAGCTTTCTCTTCACGCTACCTCATTTTTAAGAGTTGCTTCTCTTTCTCTATTCTCATCACCGCATCAGCCATGTTACTACGCTCGGCCATAAGTTTTCTGTAGTTGGCTTTCATGATGTATCTGCAAACCGAATCGTGACTATTGCGGCAAGGAAGAGCGTTGTAAGTAGATGAAATCACGACCCAGCTTTGTTGCTATAGCCATAACTTTGTTGAAGGAGGCTAGGGTTTTTTTTCCCCTATCCGTCAAAAATTTAATGTTAATTTTTATTTTTGTACGGATAATTCAGAGCTCACAGGCAGCTGCGTACACAAATTTCTGTGTGAAAGTGTAGAGGAGAGAACTTGATGCTAGTCAAGTACATAGGTACCTTGGAAAACAAGTTAACCAGGCTGGAACATGAACTAGAGAAGGAACAAGAAAATACTAAAAGGCTTGAATAAACGTAGAGAAACAAATCTCGACACAAACCAAACACATACAAAAAAGATATCACAAGATCAAAACCGGCGACTCTTATCCGCCGGACAAAACGGTGTACCGGAGCGACTCCGATGACTAGGGATGGTGAAATGTCTGAGTCTCCCTTGCTGCTCCTTCAAGTATCCTCTGCACAAGAACGCCGCCGAGAACTCGTCTTCCACCGGCCGATTAACGTCGTGAACGAAAACGTCGGTCTCGCCGCCGTCAAAACGGTTGCGAGCCAAAAGACCCGCCGTGTAAATAGCACTCATCCTCCCCGGAGCTTCGTCGTGATACCCAGTAGGAGCATCCACCATTATCAGATCCCATTGCGTCTCGTAAACGTCAGCTGGAAAACCCTTGAGCGACAAGGCACATTTCGAGTCTCTCGGATCAGACACGGATTTGCAGTCCTCTGTTTTCTCTAGCTCGATGAGTTTGTTCGAATCTTTGAGTTTCGTGTCGTAAACGACGTGGTATGATTCTAAGCTTGGGAATTTCTTGGTCACGGTCTCGATCCAAGCTTTATCTTCCTCAAGAAACACTGAATCGTGAGGATTAACTTTGATGAGAAAAATATATACTTTATAAACGTTCAAACTTCAAAGATCTGTTTTTGAGAAGCTTACATGTGCGACCAGCGTGATTGAGAGATGCCCACATCAAGCTATCGTGTCCTAAGCCGAAAACAAGGAAGTTACAAGGAGATTTCTTGTCCAAGATTCTCTTTGAGACAGAGACTTCGTTAAAAGTTTGTTGTGGAGTGATCTCTGTGGTGACGTAGTGAACCAATGCGTCGGATAGGGAAGTGGGCAATTTTGTGCATTGTGATGGGCATTTAGTGTTTTGGTGTTGTTCCTCTCGTGTGTTTGAATGAGAGACTGAAGAGGAAGAGATGCTTGTTCTTTTCAAGAAGAAGATAAGCAAGACCAAGGTTGAGCAACAGATGAATATGAGCTTCGAGTTGATGAAAGATTGAGGTTGATTCCTCATGTTTGCCCAGACCAAAGTTTTGATTTTTCTATATGGGTTTTAGCGTCTGGATAGGTTTTGTTGAGAAGATGTGTTGCCGATGGTGAAAAAAATGTATATATATATATATGTTGAGAGAGAGAGACTTGTAGATGAATTGATGTATCCTTAAAGAGTAAAATGACGCAAAAAGAAGAGAATGATTGGGAAGTTGAGGAGGACATGAGAGCTACTAAGGTTGCTGTTGAATCGATATATCAGAAGTTGGTGGATCTGTTTTTATATTATAATGTTTGTATAATGATTGGAAAGATGTGAAACGTAGTGGGGAGGCTTCTGTTACCAAACTGATGCTTGAAAGAGAAGAATCTGATAGCAAAATCACAACACCAGACAGGTATTGAATCTTGATTTACAATATTTACCACTATTCTATACATCAACGGACCTCTCTGTAGCTATTCATCCTGATCAAATGATCCTGCATTGTCAAATGTGAATAGGTTTTAGTCTTATTCAGAAAGCTTCCATACATTGCAGAACAAACTTTATATCTAAAGGTCCTAGGAGACGCTGTTAATTGTGTATTTAACTCGAGATACAAACTCATCATAATCATCATATATTCAAAAGCTTGGAGATTTTGTTTTTAAATTCTCAAGAATGACCAAGTTCTGATCCATGTCAAACAGTTTCTCAGTATTTGTCAAAACATATGGAGTCAAAAGCTTGTACCTTGGGAGTAATGGTGTATAGGTCTGACTATGCACTATGCAGATGCTGCTGTAGAATAAGTCTTGAAGAGGTAAGCCAGAATCTTCTGGTAATCACCTAATTGGACACCAGTGTTTGGATCAACCAAGAATGGAACCTGTGATTTGTATTGAGCAGCAAGAGTTTCAGTTTCAGCCGTTGATATGTGATTGGTAAGAGTGTAGACTCTGCTAGAAAATGTAGACCTTATTGGCTCCTGAAGCATTAAGAAGTGATCTCATCCGTGTGGACCCTTCTCCAATGTTATGTAATACATAGGGGAGCTCCAACTCACACAGTGCTTCACGCACCAACCGCGCATACTGGATGGGAAGAAGATGATGAATTAAAAAAACTGTGTCACCAAAGTTTATCTGACTCGTCAAAGATTTTACTCAACGATAATAGTTCACTAGGTCCATAAGACTTAATTCTTGATGAGCAGGTTTACATTAACAGAAAACAATGGCGATAATCATTCGACTAACCATGAGAAGAGTCTTGGATATATGAAAAGAAAAGGAAAAAGCATAGTACCGAGTTGTTTTCGTAAGAGAAGAGCTCGAGCATTTTAGGTGGCGGATCCATTGGAGCCTTGTCCCATAATGACATTCCTCTACCTGCTCGGAGAAGTGTTGGCATCCATCCAGTGAACAAGGTGCTGGACAACTCTAAAGAAGTAAGTGATACAGCAAAAACTTCTTCTAATAACAGCAAACACCAACTGATCTACATGATTTACAGAAATGATCAAGCAAGGAGCTAGAGAATATACAAAACAGAAGACTCTGAGATGCTCACCTTTCCAGAAGTCCTGTGGAAGGGGCTCTGCCATTTCCATATTGATTAAATAGGTACTTTACGATGTCACCTGTTAGTTAGAAAACGAGAAGATAAACAATGTAAAGATATCTAGAGAAGAGGTTATTAATGCTGGAACTCAAAACTTACCACTCTCATACATTAACGTATCAGTATTCGGGTCAATAAGGAACGGAAACCTGCACAGAATGTTAAAGATTGACCAACATAACAACAATTATTATGAAACGATGAAAACGAAAGCAAATGACAGTACAGCAACGTAAAAGTTACATTTCTTTTCCGCCGGATCTCCTAACTATTTCTCTGTGTCTTACAGATCCTTTAGGACAAGGATAAACCTTAAAAACCAACAAATATCAGGATGAAAATTTAGTTTATTGCTTAATAAGCTAAGAAAAGATGTTTCAGTTCTTACTTCTACAGAAAGGTCTAGCTCAGTCGTGGCTTCCCGCACCCTCCGGCAAAAGGGGCATGCCTCTGTTTTTCAAAAATCCAAGAAACTCTCACAATGTAAAATTGGCTTTTCACCAATGCTGTATTTATTAACATGACAGTGACACCAACAAGAACATACCAAATTCATAAAGCTGCAATGGCAAAGGAGGGTTAGGAGAAACATCATGGTTAACTATGCTCCCAGATGATACACGAGATCCCCATGGAAGTCTTGCAACAGATGCTAATGAAGAAGTTGCGACCTGTGATCATGCCAACCATAAGTAAAGAAAACAAAACAGTAAAACAGGAGTCTTATTTAACCTTCCTCATAACACTTCTGCTAATAAGTCTAAAGGGACTATAGATCCAAAACACGCTTAATAGAAACAATAAACTGAAATTTAAAAACACTTCCACAACGTGAAAGTGAAATGAAACTTCATTTGGCTAATGTCAGATTACTTATTCGTTGTTGTTCTCTGAGTCACCTAATTGACTTTTGATATACATTTGACTGCAGAGCCTTGAATTGGAGATTAAGCTTAAAAAAACAGAAGTGTTACAATACATGTACAGAGTTGTTCAACCAACCTCCAGAGTATGATTCCGCTGTTGAGAAGGGTCACCTCCCTTAAAAGAAAAACGAAACACTTGATGAGAACACAAAAAAAGCAAGCAGACAGATTTAAGAAGCTCAGAGCCAAGAGAAATCTAAATTGAGGAAGAACCAGATAGAGTAACGAGAGGAGAGAACTCACGGAGAAAAATTTAAGCAATGGACAGAGAACAGACAAGAAGCTAGAACTAGTCGGTTTCTCTGTTGTGTCATTAGTTTTCGACTCTGAGTTCCTCGATTTCACATAAAGTCTTCCTCGCGAGCCCATGTCCTGTCTCCTGAAACTCTCTTCGAAAATCGATGAGGATGAAACGCGGATGCCGGAAAACAAGCAATCGGATTAGCAACCGAGAAACAAGGGGACGAAATCGGCATTGGTCCTGTAAAACAAAAAAAAAAAACTGGATTTCGAAGAAACTCTTGATTCGATATTGAAGAAGGAGAAGGATCGATTCAGACACAGAAACCAGTTTGCGGATTTTTGACTGGAACAGAACATCACAGTCGACACTTTGGTAATTTACATATCTACCCTTAGTCTATGTTAGTCCAAATGTATATAGCTTATTCAGTTTGCTTGTATGTACTTTGTGAAATCATTATGCATTTTGTAGCTAAAGACTGAAAAAAAACTTCTAACTACTGATTTGCAAAACTAAACATGATTGCTAAAATATACACACTTATTTACGTCTCCAAACCACAAGAAAATGTGAGTGAGAGAGAAAACAAGAGTTTTCCATGTACAAATGACTTGATCGATTCAGACACAGAAACCAGTTTGCGGATTATTGACTGGAACAGAACATCACAGTCGACACTTTGGTCAATTTACATATCTACCCTTATTCTATGTTAGTCGAAATGTATAGCTTATTCAGTTTACTTGTATGTACTTTGTGAAATCCTTTTGCATTTTGTTATTTTGTAGCTAAAGATTGGAAAAAAAAACTACTAACTACAGATTGATTTGCACAACTAAACAGGATTGCTAAAATATACACACTTATTTGCTTCCCCAAACCACAAGAAAATGTGAGTGAGAGAGAAAACAACAAGAGTTTCCATGTACAAATGACCACATATAAATAACAGATCTTTACTAGCACAAGCATAGATGTGGCAATGGCCTGCTAAAAAAGTTGCGGAAGAATAGTCGCTGCTGCAGCTTCAAATCGATATCCATGGTCAATCTTCCTTCGTTCTTCGTCCAGTGCAGGTGATGTTTTTTCTTGTTTTTGGTGTTAAATCGCAGGTTCTGCCATGTTTTCCAATTATGCACCTGTTCTGTGGTTTTTCTTTGTTGCAGATTTCTCAAGCCGTGATTTCCTTACAGCCTCTTGGATTTGCCTCTCATGCTCTTTCAGAATGTCCTCAATGTTTCCACCAGGAGGCATCAATGGACCAGAATAGTGCATTCTGTTCTTCTTGCGTATATATGTCTGAGACCCCATGAGCAAAAACATCTTAATCTAAAAGGGTTAAAAAAAACTAGAGCTAATTAATATGTTCCTAGTGATTTTTATTACCGCTGTGGGTTCTACGGCTGCATCATCTTTATGTGAAGGAGACAAGTATCTCCCAGTCATTGGCACGTTGCTAGATCTTGTAGCCTTTAGCTCTACTACATTATTTCTAGAGCTCTCATTCTTACTCCATGTTGCTGTTATACTTGGATGAATCATTGAATTGGTATGAGAGAAGCCTTTATCTCTGTCGCATCTTCCTGTCTCTCCCCTCAAGCCGGTTCTACTGTCTTCTTGAGGATTGATTACTTTTGACTGCCCTGAAGCAATGAACTCTGGTGTTGTGACAGTACTCTTGAAGTCTCTTGAACCCCTTCTCACAGATTCAGGTCCACGTCCCTTCACAGTTTCGGCTCGTTTCCTGAATTTATGAACAACGTGTGCTTAGGAACTTTACATGAATCATTTTGTGGTTGTCTAGTGGAAGAATATGGACATAAGGAACCTTTTCTCACATACCTTCTTGCTTCTTCATCACGGACCTTTGCATCAAGCTCCTTGCTTGGAGGATATTTTGGCAAACTTGATACATCGCAAGGGAGTGGTTCCGTTGTGAAGAACTAGAAAAAAAGAAAGAAAAAAATATTGAGTTCGGATTCATGAGGTGAATCAAGAACTGCTTGGTGAAGAAACAAAAGGCTATAATACTATACCTTGCTGTTTAGGGTCGATGAAGTTGAGCCTCGCTTCTCTGGTTCTAAGGATAAAAGCTTATCAACAAGAGCTAGAGCAGAAGATGGCAAACTCTTGAATGTCTCTAGAAGAACACGCTTATAAGGTTGTTGTGGCTTGAAACTCGTCGCAAGTGGTAGCTTTTTCTTTTTCCAGTAATCATCAGATGGTGAACCACACAACTTGAAGATCTTATGCATTTGCTCCACCTAAGAGACATTGTCAAAGATACATATATGCTTGAACCGATAAATTTAAGCTGAATGGCTACGGATTCAAAGAAATGATGAATCTACCTCTGTTCTTCCAGGCATGATTGGTTTCCCTAGAAACAGTTCTGTGAGAATGCAACCAACACTCCACAGATCTATGCCGGCTCCATACTCTGTAGCTCCAAGTAGAAGCTCAGGTGCCCTGTACCACAAGGTTACTACACGGCTCGTCAAGGGTTGATCTTGATCTGGATGATAGAAATTCGCCAGACCAAAATCTCCAATCTTGAGGACTCCATCATTGTTTACCAAGAGATTTGAACCCTTTATGTCGCGGTGGAGGATTCCACGGCTGTGGCAGTGTTCAAGCCCACTAAGAAGCTGTTTCATGTAACATTTGATCTGCAAGAAGCAACAAGAAACAAAAGATTTGTCTCCATGTTAGTCCATTGACTCCTTGTTTTTTCTCTGTAATCAAAGCATTAAACATACCTGTGATTCAGTGAATTTCACACCGGGTCTAAGAGCGAGACCCGAAAGATCATGCTCCATGTACTCAAACACAAGGTACAAGCTACCAGAGAGTTTTGAGGTCACAAGACACTCGAGCTTCATAACGTTTGGATGGTCTAGTTTCCGCAAGATGTTGATTTCCCTGGCCATGAATCTCACGCTTTCAGGATCCATATTGACGAACCTGACCTTCTTCATAGCTACTGTTTTGCCGGTCTCAAGATCCCTAGCTCTGTACACACTACTGTATGTCCCTTGTCCAATCTGAAAAATACATTTTTTTTCGCATTAATGATCAAACCGAGAAATGATCTCAGACAGAACTAAGGTTTGGAGGTAACAGTGACAGTGCTATAGAAACATAAAGCAATCAAGAAACTAACTTTTTCAAGCTTCTCAAAGGACTCTGCAGGCCTAGGAACCCAACCCTTGATGGCTTCACCTGCAACAGAGGTTAACCAAGAAGGCCATCCAGCTGCAATGAGCTCGGCCTCAGGGCTGTGTGGGACACTTGTGATGACATTGCTCGGCTGATGAAACATTTGGAACCCTCCTCCTCCTGTCCCAATATCTGTAGTTAAACATCTCCGGTGAGACCTTGTGGGTCTCTCTACAATTACCGTTTTACCATCACTATCATCTATAGGAACAATCAATCCGCTGCCTCGAGAGGATGGTTTATGTGCTAATCCATCGGCTCTGCGTCCACCAGAGCTTCCTTCCACGGATTTGTGTGAAAAATCCTCTTTCTTGGAGTTTGTAGGTGCAATCAATTGAACTGATGAGGACGTTTTGTACCAGTTCTCGTTTTGTTTCTCAGGTTGAACGTTGACTTCTTCTTCTGCGGTTCCTTTTGAGCAAATGCAGCCCATAATACTCTGATCAGGCTGATTCACAATCTTTGTGGTTTGTCGCCTATCCGCATCAAGAACAGAATCTTCTTCTGAATGATCCCCAAGTATCAAACCCAGGATATCTCAGGTTCATCAGATGGAAAACAGAGGATGATCAAGATTTGATCTTTGTTTCTTCTCCTTCAAGAAAAGTTATGCAATTGAGTTTCTTCAATCAGGGATCTTTGATCTTTGATCTTATAGGAAGATCTTTTAGAACCTAAAAGTATGTAAAGTTGAGGGAAAAATGTGGCAGAGAAAGGAATCAAGGAGTAGCAAAGAAAACAAATACAATAAGGAAATAAAAAATAAAATAAAAATCACAGAGAAGGAGACTTGTGATTCAAGAAACAAGAGATGAGGATGAGAAGAACCCTACAACAACAAAAAAAGCTCAATTTTGGTTTTTTTTTTCCGTTATCTCACTGCAAGATGGACAAAACGTTGCAGCAAACTGTTCGTCGATAACGGAAAATCAGGAGAGAGAAAATGACGAACAGAAAGTTGTTAATTCCGAAAATGGAATTTCTTAGGATCAGGAGAGATGGCTTTTTTTCGCGGGAAATTAGGAGAAGCCCTAGATTCTGTGTAGAAGACAGCTCAAAATCTAGCTTCTTTTCTTTTTCTTTTTTGCTTGTTTCTATATTTGGCTCTTTCTAGTTTCTTCTCTCTCAAATTGTTAAGAGATAGCTTAAACGAATTTGCAGGAGGTAAATATTTCAAAATAAATTAAGGAAAATGATGTAAGTAAGGTTATTCGACTCTTGTTATTATCGCAATTCTTCCAAAAAGTAAAATGAAAATTAATTTTATTTTTGTCTTTTTTTCAAAGTAATATTATGTTGATCAACCCGAAACCGGGAAAGTTGATAATGGCTTACAATCGTTGAAATCGAAAGAAAGATAACCGGCTAAACCAGAAAACGATGATGAGCCGATTACAGTTCGCCGAGAGAAGGACTGTCCATATCACCACCGCCAGGCTGATATTGGTTCGCCGATCATTCGCCGGGTGGCAGATAACTCTAAACCTAATCTTCAATCCGGATAAGGGAAGACGCACCGGCCAATTAAAAAAGTTGAAGTTATTTGCTGTTGTTGTTTTTGTTGTTAGGACAATGACCCACGTAAGATCTTTACTGTCGGAGATCGTGGGTCCTACTAGCTCTATGCTCATCTAAGCATAGAGTAACATTATCCTAAGACTCTTCTAAGTTCAAGTCTCCCACTAGCTGATAACAATCTCTGTATTGACCAGAACATCGACAAACTTATTAAAAAATAAACTCATGTTGCATTAGAATAACTTCATTTTAAGAGACTAACATAATAATATTGATATCAACACATTGATTGTTCTTTGACCAAGTTGAAAAAACAACGATAATCAAATATTCATGAAAAAACCTTTTAAAAACCAGTCGTTTATAACATTTGTTATAAAAATACCTGAACTATTTTCGTTGCTCAAAAAATACCTAACGTTCTTTTGACTACCACTTTAATATTCAAACATTCAAAAATCGAAAGTTTCATCCCTCAACTTAAGCTCAATAAATCACTAAACAGAATCTGTTAAGCACCGTTTAATCTTTAGTCTTCCACGTGTTTTATTCAAGTCGAAAAGACCATTGCTATAAAATCGATTTTATCCTTCTTAAGTTCTTCCCCAATTTGAAGAACCCTAATTATATTCTCTCATCTATCGATTTTTTATATTTTTTCACACTTAGAATGGATAACTCAGTCTTATCTGCAAGCTCTTTCAACCCGACCTACGCCCAGATGAAAGATCTTTGTCACTGCAAGCAACCGACAGTCATGGTAAAATCATGGACAGATGATAATCTTGGAAGAAGATTTTTCAAGTGTAATACACATGGTTTCTTCATCTGGGCTGACAAAGAAAAACCAGACAGATGGCAAAAGGTAAGCTTAACAAAGGCTAGAGATCAGATCCGCTGTCAAAAAGAAGAAATCAAGGAGCTTAAAGCATCTCTTCAAGCGGTCACTAACCAAATTAGGACTGGAGCAGTGGTTGATTCAACCGTCGGCAACTCTGAGATGTTTGAAAAACTCGCAGAAGAGAAGAAGATTCTGGAATTTGAAGCTATGGCTTTGAAAGAGAGGGAGAAACTGCTAATTCATTGTCATCTCTTGGGGAGGATTCATTGTTGTCACAGGCATGATTCTTACAATGGTGAAGAACTAATTCTTACAATGTTTCAAGCTATGGTCTTGGTTGAATTGGAATTTTTTTTGTTCTTACTAAGTTGTAGTTGTGGTTTCTTTCTTTCCTTGCTAAGCTGTGATTGTTGTTCTAAAAATGAACTTATGTTTTATGGATTGTTGTTGTCATTTTGTGTTCTTAATTGGTGGTTTGGTTTGTTTGAATTGCCGGTTGTCTAGCACAATTTCTGTGTTCAGCTTTCGGGAAGGAGATCAGCAACAGCATTAATCAATCCCTTTTGTTTGTCTGAAATGATACTCAATCCATTGCCCAATCCTAAATCCAACTCTGCCTTCAATTTACCAACAAACCAAGCCCAAAACTCATTATCCTCGACTCTAACTATAGCCCAAGCAAAAGGAAAAATCATGTTATCTGCGTCTCGGCCAACAGCTGCGAGAATCTCACCTTTGAGCTCCCATTTCATGAAAGCTCCATCAAGCCCTATAATTGGTCGACAACACCGCTTCCAGCTAGCCCTAAGCTTATCAAAGATTATGTAGAATTTGTCAAAAACAAACTTACCATCAGCACGAGGCAGAGTCACAATCTTTGTACTCACATCATTACTACACTTCAGCTCACCATCATAATCCTTGCAGTGACATCTGTCTATTATCATCTTGTGCTAGACAACCGGCAATTCAAACAAACCAAACCACCAATTAAGAACACAAAACGACAACAACAATCTATAAAACATAAGTTCATTCTTAGAACAACAGTCACAACTAAGCAAGGAAAGAAAGAAAACACAACTACAACTTAGTAAGAACAAGAAAAAATTCCAATTCAACCAAGACCATAGCTTGAAACATTGTAAGAATTAGTTCTTCACCATTGTAAGAATCATGCTTGTGACAACAATGAATCCTCCCCAAGAGATGACAATGAATTAGCAGTTTCTCTCTCTCTCTTTCAAAGCCATAGCTTCAAATTCCAGAATCTTCTTTTCTTCTGCGAGTTTTTCAAACATCTCAGAGTTGCCGACGGTTGAATCAACCACTGCTCCGATCCTAATTTGGTGAGTGACCGCTTGAAGAGATGCTTTAAGCTCCTTAATTTCTTCTTTTTGACAGCGGATCTGATCTCTAGCCTCTGTTAAGCTTACCTTTTGCCATCCGTCTGGTTTTTCTTTGTCAGCCCAGATGAAGAAACCATGTGTATTACACTTGAAAAATTTTCTTCTAGGATTATCATCTGTCGGTTGCTTGCAATGACAAAGGAGACCTTCCATCTGGGCATAGGTCGGGTTGAAAGAGCTTGCAGATGAGACTGGGTTTTCCATTCTGAGTGTGAAGAAATCAAAAGAAATCGATAGATGAGAGAATAGAATTAGGGTTCTTCAAATTGGGGAAGAACTTAAAAAGGATAAAATCGATTTTAAGGGTAACAATGGTCTTTTCGACTGGAATAAAACACGTGGAGGATTAAAGATTAAACGGTGCTTAACAGATTCTGTTTAGTCGATGGATGAAACTTCGATTTTTAAATGTTTGGGTATTAAAATGGTAGTCAAAAGAACGTTAGGTATTTTTCGGACAATGAAAATTCAGGTATTTTTATAGTATATGTTATATACGTCGGGTTTTTAAAAGGTGTTTTCCCTTTATAATTTGATGCGGTCTGAATCATTTTTTTTTAGGGAAAATTCCAAAAAAAATCATTAACTTAATTTCGATAAGCTAATAAAATCCTCAACTTTTTGACTACCCAGAAAAAAACTTCAAGTATTTTTTCTGCCCACAAAAAATCCTCATATGTTAACCGTATACTAAGTTTACATCGTATACGAAACTACAGTAAACGGAAATTAGAGCGACGTTAGGAAACTAACTATGGTCACTATTCGTGGTTTAGCATTAGTTAAACAACCCAAACCCGATTCTTAAACCCGATTAAAGTAAACCCGAGTATTCGATCAAAAACCCCAAATCGAACATAATTCCCCAAATCGAACAAAAATTCCCAAATTAGAAGCAAACCCTAAAATCCCCAAATTTACATATGAACCCTAAATCGAGATCATGAGACTGAATTGAAGGAAAATCCAGAGACATGAGGTATAATCTGCACTAAATCGAGTTGTTTATCGATCCCATTTTGTTAATGTAGTTTAAATTTTGCGTCGTAATTTTCTAATAGAAATGTCTGTGTTCGTGTAGTAACGGCGACGACAAGCTCAAGCTCCACATCCACTATGGAGGGTCAATGTCAAAGGAAGGAGACCAGTGGTGCTATAAAGGAGGATTGACAGAACCTGATATGGTGGTAGATCCCGATTTGCTCACTTTCTCCATTTTCGAAGACTTCAGTTCAAATCCTGAAGCTACGAGCGATGTGGTGAAATTATGGTACAGACTACCTTCTGAGGATATGTCGAAGCTAAGATGTGTGTACGAGGATAAGGATCGGGAGCTTATGAAGATGGCGGCGGAAGCAAATGAATGTGGAGAGGTTCACATCTACATTGGACATAGTGGGATTCCATCGCGGGATGATGTTGAGTCGAGAACTACTGGTGGTCCTATTGATGCTACTGAAAACGATGAAAGTGATGAAGAGGATATAGAGGAAGAGAACGACGAAGAGGATAGAGAGGAGGATGACGATGGTGAGAATGGCGATGATGAGAACAGTAACAGTAGCGATGACGAGGAGAGAGAGTCTGAAAGTGATGAAAGTGATGTTGAAAACAGGGAGGAAGAAAAGGAAGAAGAACAGAGACGTGAAGAAGGTGCAATAGTGGAATTTAGAGAAGAAGCGAGTGGAGTACCATCTGAAGATGAGAATCAGATCTTAGGCGAAGGAGCTCCTGACCCACGGTTTGACAATATGTTTGCTGCACTCGAAAATGAGCCTCCTCCTGTAGTTCGTGGTGCACCTACTCAGAATAATGCAGATGACGAAGCTGTGGATAGTGATATTGAAGGTGAGAAACAAAGGCGAGAAGGTGAATACCCAGATTCTCCGGAAGACACTGATGAAGAATGGGCTAATTGGAAGAACACAGATGATCGTGGAAGGAGGTTTAAAGGAAAGAGTAAGGCTGATTATAATCAGCCCCCATACTTATGGCTGATGCAAACCTTTAACAATGGTGAAGAGTTCAAGGATCAACTTCTGAGGTATGTTTTAAAAACCCAATATGATGTGAAGTTGAATAAGTGGAACTCTCAAAGGTATGCAGCCATATGCACACACAAGAAATTCAATTGGAGAATATATTGTGCGATGGAGAAGCCTATACGGAAGTGGATGGTCAAAGTCTTCGAAGATAAACATTGTCATTTGCCCACGGGAAGAGTAAGGATGCTGAAACAAGGCACTATTGCGAAGCTTTTCAAAGAAGAAGCAAGAAGACGACCAGAAATAAGGAGTTCTGACATTAAAGACGAGCTAATGCATAGGTACAAGGTCTCAGTTTCAATATTCAAATGCAGAAAAGCAAGGCGAATGCTCTTGCTACTGTTCTTCCGAATGCTGAGCATAGAAATTGTGCAAAGCATGTCTATGGGAACTGGAAAAAGAAGTACAGTGATGTGGATTACAAGCCTTTTTTCTGGAATGTGGCATACAGCAAATCAGTGGGAGAATACCAAATGCGCATGGATGAGCTCAAAGCACACGATCCAGCAGCACATGCCGATTTGCTAGCTAAGGAACCGAAGACTTGGTGTCTTGCTTTCTTCAGTGGAAATGCAAGGTCTGCTAATGTGTGCAACAGCTTGTCCGAAAGCTTCAATAGGACAATCAAAGGAGCAAGAGAGCTGCCTCTGATAAATATGCTGGAGAAAATAAGGAGGCAGGCTATGACTCGTATTGCACGCAGGTTTAAGAAAGCTAAGGCATGCATAATGGCTTTTCCACACAAGATCGGCGATATATTAGAAGCAAATAGAGAGGATAGCAAGGATTGTTCTGTACTTACTAGTTCAGACAATTTGTTTGAGGTTTTGTTGTATGGTTGCAGCTATGAGGTATCTCTTCGTCTTCGTCATTGTGTTTGCAGAGATTGGGACCTGACTGGCATTCCATGTTCACACGCCATAAGAGTTATCAACGAAAACCACCAACAACCAGAAAAGTATGTGTTACAACCATTTTATCTTTTTACCGTGTTTATGTTTTTGCTTTGAGTTGATCCGGTTTTATTTTCACAACCCTTGTATTGCAGCCATGTTGATAACTACTACAAGACTGAAGTTTGGATAGCAACCTACCAAGAAAACATAAAGCCTGTTAATGGAGAGCTATATTGGGAGAAGACTCACAAGGAACCAATTGGAGTTCCCGGTTTCAGGAAGATGCCAGGAAGACCTAAGAAAAAGAGGATCAAAGCTGCACATGAGTCTCCTTCCAAGCCAAACCGAGTCACCAGACATGGCAGAAGAATGACATGTGGAAACTGCAAGCAGGTGGGACATAACAAGCTGGGTTGCAAAAATCTGACTTTTGTGGTTCAAGGACCAACTCGCAAGCGTGGAAGACCTCGGAAGATAGATGTAAGTGTATCTCTTCCCTCTATAATACATTTTGTAAGATGTTCTTGTTTGGTTTTGACAATCTCATATTTTGTCATAGGATGGTGTATCTAATCCTCGGCCAAGGAAAAAACGCACCACTACTACACCTCAGTCACAGCCTTCTGTTCCACTATCTACACCTCAATCACAGTCCTCCACCGTGGCTCCCTCAACTGCACCTGCACCAGCAACAGCAGCTTCATCTTCTTCTACAGCACCTCCTAGCCGTGGACGTGGCCGCCGTGGTCGACCTCCTGGAAGAGGACAAGCCCGTAAGAATGTGACAGTCCCAAGAGGTGTAGGTGTCTTCATGTGCCCTTATACAAATCGGGTATTTGAATGCTTTGGTCAAAATGCAAGAGAGGTCGGTGGAAGCTCATCACAAGGACCAAGTGCACGCAAGTAGTTGCTTTTCTTTTGCTTGTTATTGTTTTTGGTGTCTAAACAGTTCAGGGAAGAATACTTGGGTATGGTGTTTGGTGTTATGGCATTTGTTTTGTTTGGTTTTGGTATTTTTGTGTTCAAGCTTTATCATTGTGTTTTCATTTGCTATTGATGATGTTTCTTTGTTATCTGAGAGAATAGAGAACATTAAGCAACTAAATAGGTTTGGATCACCATCATTTTTCACCAACAAAACACTACAACCATTACCAAATATCTAAACCAAACAAAGCATTACAAAGACCAATATCCAAACTTCAACCGAACTACATTACAACCAAACTTCAACCAAACTTAAAATCATTAGAATTTACTTGAAAGCATTGCAAATTATTGCAGTCACACACACAAATCCCACCCACGAAATGACCACAAATTGTCGACAAAGTTTCTCCTTTTCCACGCTCAATGCAAGTTCTTCCTTCAGAGCCTTGTTCTCGTTAGTCAGTTCGATCCATACCTCCGAATTCTCCGCATTATCGGCTCGTGACTCTATCTGCTCGCCGGCAGAAGCCATTACTTCACCATCTTCTCCGACCAAAGCTCTCAGCTTTTTCAGCTCCTGTAATAGGTCCCGAATCGTGTCTCGAGCTTCCACCAATGCTTTCTTCTGCCATCCATGAGGCTTCTCAACATCGAACCATCTGAAGAAGTTGCAGGACTTCCAATTTCGATCTCCACAACCATAGAATCTTCTCCCCGGATTATCATCCGTCCAAGCCTTCTTAACCACCGACTCCTTCCCACAGTGACACTTCAATTCGCCCATGAATCCTCCGCTTATTGCGTTCGATGCTGAACCGGAGCTTTGGCTTTGATTCATCACTACAAATCGATGGAAAATCGGAGAGAGAGAACGTAAATGGGATACGAAATTAGGGTTTAGAGCATTTGGGGATTTTATGAACTAAATCGTGTTTTAACTATGGTTAGATAGTTAACAGATAATCCGAAAATCTAAACACCGTTATTAGTACCGTTAACTTTTGTAACCCAACCATTTTAAAATGGTCACACGGTTAACATAAGAGGATTTTTTGTGGGCAGAAAAAATACTTGAAGTTTTTTTCTGGGTAATCATAAAGTTGAGGATTTTATTAGCTTATTGAAAATAAGTTAATGATTTTTTATGGAATTTTCCCTTTTTTTTAATGAAGAACGTTAGGTTTTTTTCCTTTCTTGTAGTGTTTTTAAAGTGGTTTCAATAGGCAAAATCCTATATGTTGCAAAAAAAAATATATTTTTTTTGTAACAAGGGTTATTTTTTTTTGCTAAACATAAATCTATTATATTAAAACAGAAGCACATTTAGTACTTGCTTCCAAACACTCCTAATTTTTTTTTGAAGTGTTTAAAAATAATTTTAATAATTATTTATATTTAATTTCGAAAATTAGTTATTAATTTAAATATTTTTAGATTTCCTTAAATATAGGTAATTTAGATTTGATTTGATTAAAAATAATAAATCAGATATTAATTTAGATTTGATTTAAATATTCTAATTTAAATAATTTCTATACTATTAAACATTTTTATCAAAAATATCTAAATTTTTTGAAAAATCAAAATAATTCACATATGAAAAATAATGGTCATATTTGAAATGTAAAATATTTATAATGATGTAAATGATATGATATTTATGTTGTTTATATAATATATTTACGATTATGATTTATTTACAAATTAATACTAAAATAATAGGTAAAATTCAAATGGATAATTTAAATATTAAAAAAATATTTTTTAAAATTCATAGAACTAAAAAAAATATATAAAATATCGGGTTAAAAATATTTTGGTAACTAAAATCACTAATTTTGAATAATACATGTATATCGAAAATATATTTTTCATACAAAATCAAAACATAAAAATTAAAAATTATTGCATACACTATAATGTGGTTTGAAAAACCAGTTGTACACTCCATTTGTTGATTAAATTTTAGAAAACTATAATGCTAAATAATACTGTTAATACATCTCAAACTTTTAACAAATATTTATATTATACGGTAATATGAACGGAAAAGTTAGAATTATGTTTTTATAATAGTTCATTTTGAATTAATATTAGCGGATGGGTTAAAATTATATTTTTATAATCATAATTAATTTTAATACTATAAAAATATATCTAAACACAAAAATCAATATTTTTACTTATTAGAAAATATATTTATAAAAATAATTATATCTAAACTCAAAAACACAAATTATATTACAAAATTCGTTAAACAATAAAAAATATTCTCATGCAGATGCATGGGTTTAGAATCTAGTATTACCTAAAACACGCACCACATAAAATGATTCAACCCAATTCCACATAGTTTGAGAAGTCGGTTCATATATCCACGTAAATTATATTACGTATAAGATTTTTATAGATAAGCAATGAAAGAAATTCAACATGAACTCAAAGATAAGCAATTACTAATTCTTCACAACTTTCGTCTAGCAACGGTAAGCTATGGGGTTATGCAGATTATGCAAAATGTATATATGATATATTATGCAAAGAGATGAGATGAAGAATCCAATAGGCAATAGTCACATGACTTCTTCCACTTTTGTCGATAAGAACATAGCAAAATCAGGAAGAATGGAAAGATATACAGAGAGATAAAGTGAATGTGAAGCAAAACCTGATCAGCCAAAATATCAACAATATGTTGCAATCTATGCTAGTTAATAGTTATCTTCAAAGCTAAAAGACTTGATACCTAAACACAGCTTTTATAAATATGTGTGTCAGTGTGTGATTTAAACCGTTTAAACAAGTACTGAGAATTTCAGGCATAGGCTGGACCAGCATATAACAATTTAAGGCCGACACATGACTCTGAGAGTACAGCACCAATCCACTCAATCTTCCCCCAAACCTCCCATTCCTCGGGTCCTCGGCGTTCCCCCACGGAAATCTCGGCAGACCGAAGCTCCATAATCTCAGGACCTTGAGGCCGAGCTTTCCAGAAAATGACAATCTTATTCTCGGCAGAGTTGATGCATAGTTTGCTGATATCATAACCCCAAGGGATATAATATTGCAGCTTTTCCAAACCCTTGACTTCCTTCCAATCGAACTCTTTTGGCAAACACCACAATATTTTCCCACCAGTACCGTGGCAGAACAAGACATTCCCAATCAAACACCAATCGTTTCTGTATCCTGGCTTAGAATCTGTTTTACCGTTTTCCACAAACATAGGTTTATTACTTGGTGAGAATGAGAAGTCTTGACCATCTTTATCCACCGCGTAAACCTCCTTCTCGTCTATCACCACACTTTGTCGGATCTCGAAGGGCATCTTGGGCGTAGACACAAACAAGAACTCCCAAGTTGAGGTCCTGAGATCGAACACCTCTGCCCAGTTTAATGAATCAGCGACATCCCAGCACCCTCCAAACACGTATACCTTCCTGTCTATCAAGCTTGCCGATGCTCCGCATCGAGCCATCTTCATGGGCTGAACGGGGTACACTGTGTGGTCGGCACAACAGAAAAACGTTACATCCGAAGTGGGTTTGCCGTTCATGAGTCCACCGATAACTAAGAAGCCGTTTTGCGTCTCCACGAAAGAAGATCCTGATACAGGAGTTGGATACAAGTTCATATAAAGACGTTTCAGTCGACGTTTCGTGGGGTGGAGGATGAACCAGTGAGGGCTTGGATCTGGAAAGAAGTGCAATAATAAGTATATATTTGGCTCGACGCTACCCATCTTCCATCTCAAGTTGCCGAACTCAGGGGACACTATTAGAGACCGATGTGGCTTTGAGGCGATAGCTAAGGCAGCGAGGTCCAACCTCGACACATGAGCCATGCAGCTCATAGCTACATCATCTGGTAACGAACATAAGCGAGACACATTCGTCTTGTTCTTGCTCAATTCCAGTTGATCATCGGAGGGGGGATCAAGTTCCTTTCTCGCGCTAGGGCTTTCTGTAAGAGGATCCTGACACGAACTCATCTGGATTGTGTAATAATATCTTAAAATTAATTGTACAACTAATTTGTTTATTTATATACAATAGTCGAAGATGGTAGGAAAAAGGCAATATTATAGGGCAAGTAAAAGGAAAAATTAGTTGCGAACAAAAAAAAGGAAATAATTATTCTAAAGATCAGGAAAAAAGAATGGATTTGACTGATAAGGATTGTGAATAACTTTTCCAAAATGGATCACAAAAACGAAAGAAAGCGAACAAACAAAACTCTTCCAGAAATTAAAATGTTAGATCACACAACACAATGAAATTAGATAATTTTATTTACAAAATTAAAATTATATATTAATTTCCCTAAATTTTACAAAAAAGATAATTAATTGTATTCGAGTTATTGTCGAACATTCACACTTTTTAAAAATCCAGATGCAAAACAAACCAAAATAACCGGATTAAACCGGAAACTGGAAATGGATGCTTGGAGCTTAATATGAAGTAACTTTAAAACTTAAAGATGTCATAGGAACAAGCACGTGGCTCTGTAACTCCCTTGCATGCAGCCATGTTGTTCATCATCCATCACTATATGTCAAAACTTGCCCCAAAATCCTTTTTTTTTTCCTTATCCAAAAAACAAAAATATAAAACCTCATTTTATGCAGTTGCCTTCACTTTTATCTTTCTTCTTCGTTTTCATAGCCTGATCCCAAAGAAAATCCTCTTATATATTATTTTCGAAGTAAAGAGAGAAAGGGAAAAACAAAAAAAAATGGTGGATCTATTGAACTCGGTGATGAATCTGGTGGCGCCTCCGGCGACAATGGTGGTGATGGCCTTCTCATGGCCATTATTGTGTTTCATCAGCTTCTCCGAACGGCTTTACAACTCTTATTTTGCTACCGAAGACATGGAGGATAAAGTTGTTGTCATCACCGGAGCTTCCTCCGCCATTGGAGAGGTACTCAAAATTATGAATAGATCAAATAAAACAGTGTTCTGAACCGTTTTATGCATTTATGTTGTTGAAAAAAAAAATAGGAGACTTATATAGATCAAAATCATCCAAGGACTAATCTATAGACCTATAAATTACCGGATTTTCTTGCCATTTAAAATGTTCAAATGACCAACTATGGATAAAATATTCTCCATAATAATTTCCACAAATTTTTACTCTCCTGCAATCATTGATCGGCTTATAGATTGATTCAGTCCAAATCATGCATCCTTGAGCTTACTCTAATATGTAATATTAAAGACCATATACTATATTCTCTATATTGATTCCACAAGATGGTATTGTATTATTAGAGTATGTTGTTGATTTGTTAACTTTTTACAGAAAATGGTTTTTTGCGGTTTTGCGTTTATGATTATTTCAACTGAAAAAAGATTTAAAAAGTTGTGTTTAATGTTAAAATCAAACTTTTTTAATCAAAGTTTTTAATAAAAAAAGAAAGAAGTGATGGTTGATTAATTATTCGAACTCAAGTGTTATATAACAAAAATAAGATCCGATGCGATTATAGAAAGAGAAAAACAAATATTATGAGGTTTTGCATGGATGCTTACGATCTTTTTAATGAGATGAAAACGCAGCAAATAGCGTATGAATATGCAAAGAGAGGAGCGAATTTGGTGTTGGTGGCGAGGAGAGAGCAGAGACTGAGAGTTGTGAGCAATAAGGCAAGAATAATTGGAGCCAACCACGTCATCATCATCGCTGCTGATGTCATCAAAGAAGATGATTGCCGCCGTTTCATCACCCAAGCCGTCAACTACTACGGCCGTGGTACTCAACCTATCGCAGTTTTCGCAGTAGTTTCATAGCTTTAATCGGATAAAATCGTTTTATCATTGAATGCTTAGGGATAGGTTAACGTGTAGGCCAGGTAATACTGTAATAGTTTAATGTTTTGATAGCTAGTTAAGCAATTTTAACTGAAAATGTTGTGAATTCAACACAGTGGATCACCTAGTGAATACAGTGAGTCTTGGACACACATTTTACTTCGACGAAGTGAGTGACACAACTGTGTTTCCGCATTTGCTGGTAAGACTAAAATGCTTTCTTGATCTCTATATCTTCCGGTTTTGAGTATTGTGCATTCATTGAGAGATTGAGATTCTTGAGCAGGATATAAACTTCTGGGGGAATGTTTATCCGACGTATGTAGCATTGCCATACCTTCAAAAGACCAATGGACGTATAGTGGTGAATGCATCGGTCGAGAATTGGTTGCCTCTACCTCGGATGAGTCTTTATTCCGTTAGTACTTAACCATTTACAGTTCTTTATACAGCTTGATCTGAAATTCTTCTGTTTGACTTAGAATGTTATCATTGTGTATAGGCTGCAAAAGCAGCATTGGTCAACTTCTATGAGACGCTGAGATTTGAGCTAAATGAAGAGGTAGGGATAACTATCGCGACTCACGGATGGATAGGGAGTGAGATGAGTAGAGGAAAGTTCATGTTAGAAGAAGGTGCTGAGATGCAATGGAAGGAAGAAAGAGAAGTAAGGCTTAATTATCAAACCACACACTTGTGATTTGACTGAACCTAATCATTGTCCCTTATACTTAACTTTCATTTGATCTATAGGTATCTGCAAACGGTGGACCGATAGAGGAATTTGCAAAGATGATTGTGGCTGGAGCTTGCAGAGGAGACGCGTACGTGAAGTTCCCAAACTGGTACGACGTGTTTCTTCTCTATAGAGTCTTCACGCCCAATGTGCTGAGATGGACATTCAAGCTGTTACTGTCTAGTGAGGGTTCACGTAGAAGCTCCCTTGTTGGGGTCGGGCCAGCTATGCCCGTGGACGAGTCTTCTTCAGAAATGAAACTTATGCTTGAAGGAGGCACACCTCGGGTTACCGGAAGTCCACCTCATTACACCGCAAGCCCACCACGGTATACCGCAAGCCCGCCTCACTACACCGCAAGCCCACCTCGGTATACCGCAAGTCCACCTCATTACGCCGCAAGCCCACCTCGGTATACCGCAAGCCCACCTCGGTTTAATATCCAAGAGTTGCAATAGAAACTGAATGGAGAATCAAGAGGTGAGGTCTAGTGTGTAGTGTGTAGAGTGAACTTGAGCTTTGGAACTTCTGTGATTAAGTGAACAAAAAAGCAATGTAAAGGACATAGAATCATGAATAATGCCGGATGATACAGCTATGTGATGTTATTTGTTACTTATGTCACCCAAAACATTACACGGACACAATGTTGATATACATGATATTGTATCTGTCAAAATGTGATTTTAGACGTAGCTTCTCCACAAGTATTAAACAGAGAAAAAGAGCAGAACCTAGAGCGTTTTGCACATCTAGGCTCTGAGAAACTGGAAAGAAGATGACAAGATCCTGAAGAGACCATCCGGGTTATCCGTGTGAACCTGAAAGGACACAACCCGTTTATGTGTTGGGTACTATAGATGATACAGAGAAAAACAAAGATGAAGCAATGTAGAAGCAGAGGTGTTAGTTAATTTTACCCAGTGGCCAGCGTCTTCCAGGACATGCATTTCTACGCCGCCTCCTTCTTCAGAGGCGAGCTCTTCAGCGGCGTGGATTCGTTGGAGGTCCTCTAAGGCCCAACGGTGCAAGCTTCTTTCGGCTTTTAGAAAATTCACATGTACTCCTCTTGGAAGATTCTCAACAAAGTTCCTTTTTTTGCCAAGAAGTTTTGAGTATAATTAGATCAAGTATCATACAATTATACAAGTTTGGTCCACTAAACAAAGGGAGGTTTAGCAGAACAGATTACCATAGATTTGTGTCTTCGTAGGACTGATAAAGTTGGGAGATCCCGTCCAAGTCAAACGTCCACGAGAAGCTCGAGCACGATGGTCCAGTAGGTCTGAGATTGGTAATGACCCACTGCACAAGAATATATTTTAGAGACATCAAGGTTGTTGCAATTCAACAAGTATCAGCAGAATCAACCAACGGTCTGAAAGTTAGTTTAATAGATGATAGAATCTGGTGAGTGAATGGATGTTATTATACCTGTGCAACATCATTGGAAAACCCTTCTTTGATAAGAGCGTTTAGAACCTCGCGCTTTGATGAGACCTTAAACCAAACACAAAAGATGTTCATAAGCATATATTTTCTAGATCTTTGTGTTCTTCTGACTTCTATGACCCTCTAGGTGGTTCAAACTGCTTATTGCAAATAATCAATTAAAGTAATCAACAGTTTGAAAATTCTAGTAACGTCTAGCAAATTCTATTAGCTTATTAATCTGTTATAAAGTCTCTCAACTGGAACAAGAATTCTAAAATTTTGACAGTACGAATTCTAAACAAGAACAAGATATATCAATGTTGAACTATAAATTGACAAAAGTACGTTCTCATGAACACATCTGTAGTTGTTCAACTCTCCTAAGATAATCAATTCTCAACTTATAAACGGCATCTCGTATGATATAGAAACTCAGATGTCCAAAGCTTCGATGATGAGAGGCCAAAAGACAGATACATATCGTAACTCACCACTTTTGGCAATGTACGTAGAAATGATATAAGCTCTCGTGGATGATCCTCTCCATCTCCTCCTGCACGAACTTTTCCAGGAGTAGCATCCAATACCCAAGCCTGTAATGGATACAATTCCGGAAAATTAACATAAACTCTACCAAGGGTCATAAGGATATTACAAATATAAAAAAACCACTTACTCGGACTGGTCGTGGAAGAGGCTTAGCTGCTTGTTCCACCATGCTCAAAACAACTACACAGATCATAAGAAAAGATTGATCTTTACACATCTGAGTAAATAATCTAAATGAAGAAATTTTTACAAATACATTAAACTCACCTTTCCCTCCAAAGCTGTGACCAACAAGGACCCGAGGTGTTAATCTCAACTGACCAACCTAAGAACGACACAATACAGAAAGATGAGTATCAGAGAAGTGATATTTCATGACTAATCGAATAACGTGTGTACTGAAACTTACAAGTTTAAGAACATCAGAAGCCGTTGAAGCAACAGAGTGTGGACCTCTCTTTTTCAGAGACGCTGAATCCCCATGACAACGCAGGTCTACCAAGAGAAACTGTGAAGATTGAATTAACAGGAGCAGATTAGTTATTGGAAGCCAATAAGTGTGTGTGCACAGTTTATTGAATTTGGCCAAACACATACCTGCCAAGTTGGGAACTCATGAGCTAATCTTCGAGCAAAAGTGCCTAAGAACCAAGAAAACAAAAAAATAGGTTTGGTTAGTTAGAAATGTTTCCAGTTTCCACACCATACAACCAAACCGAAAGTTAGAACAAACAAGAACCGGGACAAATATATGACTAAACTGATCTCTTTGCTTGCCTCTAACAGGCATGTAAAGAGATTTCAAGAATGACCGTACTGGTGTAACATGTTAAGTGCAGCACAATCTTATAACGATTTCACAAGCAATTCCCAGATACCGACCCCAGTTTTTCCCGCTCCCTAGAATTCCGTGTAGGAGAACAGCAGTAGGTGTATCTGGAACAGACTTGTCCTCCTTCCATCTCCATTTCACCTGCGTCAGTCCATAATCAGTCCAAAAACATAGAGAATGTCTCAAACTTGATGGTAGCTTCTATTGTCTCAGTGGACATGGAAAAATCCAGCATTTTCAGTCTAGAATCAAGATTATACTCTCAGATAACTTACAAGTGCACCTTGAACAAGATCGTACGCCTGCAAAACAAATAGCACAAGATAATCAATCAGTAGAGGCCAGAAATTCACATGACTTGCAGCAAGATTAAAGAACTAAAGTACAGATTTTTAACACTAAAGAATCAAACTATTTGTATCACAAATCAAACCACGTACCAGGATCCGAGGAGGCTCAGTAAAATTTTGGCTTGTTGTTAGCCTCTCATCGACTAAAGCCATACGTACAGTTGTTCCTCTCGCTTTACGGTCTCCATTTACCAATGCCAAACGATGCATACATAATCTGTCACTCTTTTAAGTAAGAGAAAATATGAAAAATCCAGAAAAAGTTAGGGACTTTAACTGTTTAATGCTACAGAGAATGACAAATAGAGAAGGAGAAGTTAACAAACCTGAAAATGTGTCCTAATTCTGATGAAATTAGGAGAATTGATCGCTGGTAAAGCTGATTGAAACATAAATCTACATCCGCCACTAGAGCTCGCCGTGGAGTACGAGACCGTCGGCATTTCGACAGATCAATGTCTGTATTTGCACACCGTCTGAATTGAAAAAAAACAACGAATTTTTGAAGATTCCTGATCCTTTTTCACGGATCGAGGAATGGAGCGAAAGGGAAGAGACAAGACGGAGAAGGATTAAGAAGTTTAAGAAGCGGAGAAAACGAAAGCAATGTGCTTTCTTTCTTCTTTCTCCCCCTTATTATGGATTTTTTTTGTTTTCTCCGTCGCCTGGCTTCTCTCCTCCGCCGTACGTTCAGTTTTCTGGAGAATCTCTCAGGTTAGAGACAGGCACAAAATGACACATTTACCCCTTATGTCGGCTTTCACGTAGACGTTGATCGATCCACTTGGCGTGGTCGGTCCAGCCTCCCACCTACCTAACAACAACTCACATTCTGTCGTTTCCTTCATTTTTCCAAAAACCCAAACGCGTTCCTTGCAAACAATGTTTTGAAAGCCGGACCGGTCTAACCGAGAATTGTATAGCCAAGTTCGGGTTGAGTAAAATAAAAACTTTAAACCACTAAAACCGGCCAAAACCGCTAAAACTCAAATTTGGGCTTGCATACTCAAATTTGAGCCCAAGACAAAAACCCACTTCTTTTTTCTTTTTTGAGCAGCAACCAAAACCCACTTCTAAAAAGCGGATTCTTAAAAGAAATAAAATACTGAAAAAGGAATAAAATTGTCAACCGACTCAAAATCAACCAGTACAAAAACGCCACGTGGACCCAGGAATAAACGTGTGGCCTGTGGCTCGCTCACGCCGCCACCTCCTCTTCTTCTTCTTCCTCGAAGCTTCTTTTTGAACAATTCCCGTTTTCACATACGGAAGAGTCTTTCAAAAAAAAGAAACCGTCAAAAAGCCACCGTTTGTTCTGATTTTTCGTCCTCGATCAAATGGCGTCGTTCGATGAAGCACCTCCTGGAAACCCTAAGGCCGGAGAGAAGATCTTCAGAACCAAGTGTGCGCAGTGCCACACCGTCGATAAAGGTGCCGGTCACAAACAAGGTCCGGTTCATTCTCTCTTTCTCACCTTCTGGATTCTCCGATGTCGGATTTTGCTTTTAGATCTAAATGTTTTCTGTTTCATTTCATCGATTTACGTTTGTTCTGGTCTGGATCTATCGAATCTGTAATGTCTCACCTTCGCTGAATCGATTGAACGTTTTGATTTCCTATATGCGTTGCGTCTTGATTTGTTGTGTTCTCCATGCGTAATTGTATTGAATTTTTGGATTTTTGATGATACAGGACCAAACTTGAATGGATTGTTTGGGAGGCAATCTGGAACAACTCCGGGATATTCTTACTCTGCTGCTAACAAAAACATGGCTGTTATGTGGGAGGAGAAGACTCTCTACGATTACTTGTTGAACCCCAAGAAGGTATTTTTCCCATATTTTATGCTCAATTGATTTGAAACCTTATTGTTCTGGTGATTGACTGATGCTGCATTTTCCATGCTGCTGAATTTTAGAGACTATTTGTTAAAAAAAAAATGAAAGATGCAATTTGTAGTGTGATACATTCAATTATCTTTCTGTTGAATGTTCTGGATTATTTACAAACCTAATTTTCTTGCTCTCCTCATGCTTTTGTTTTGCAAAGTCTCCTTCTTTATGAAATTTGACTATCAATTACAGGGATTCCTCATTGAAATTTTTCATTTTTCCTATTGCTTGTTCAAAAATTTATAATTACATTCTTGTTTAGCTAGTCTCTAGACTGAATCCATAAGGTTATAGAAGATGTTGTATGTTTAATACTGAGTCGTCGCTTCATACTCTGTAAATCTGTGGGTCGTTTCTTATTGAGCTGATTTAAAAGAGAATTAGATTTCTTTCTTATTGGAAAACGATGCTGACGTATGTGGGTTTTCTTTCCTTGTTGCACAGTACATTCCTGGGACGAAAATGGTGTTTCCTGGACTGAAAAAGCCACAAGATCGTGCTGATCTCATCGCTTATTTGAAGGAAGGTACTGCATAGACAAGACAACGCTCGCTCGGACATACATGCAGCCTCTATTCCCGTTCATTTTTTTAAACAGATAAAATAAATCAGACCCGAAAAATATTGTGGTCATGAACTGGTTTTCTATATGCTCTTTTTTTTACACTTGGTTGATGAGGCGAGTTGCCTCTTATAAAGTCGAATATTCGTTTTTGATGTGCAGAACCCAATCTCCACCACGAATATTTATGAGAATTTTATCCAACTTGCCTACTTTTGTTTACAAAGCAGATTCTAGAAGACAAAAATTGTCCATATTTAGAAATATGTATACATTACGGCAAGTCTGGAACTAACGCCCAAATATATATAATTACTTTGCGTACATGGCTAATTGTGTGATTGAGTTGTGTCCTTGAACCTTGAGCGTGATTTGAGTTCCTAATTATCGCATTCTTGAGTTGAGTTTTTTCTTTTCTTTTATCGATATTTTTAACTGAAAGTATATGTAATTTAACTGAAGAATGAAAAAATTATTGTAGGTGATTTTTATTCTTTTCACTCATGTTGACGTCTATTTATTTTCTTGTAACACGAGCTAGAGTAGACATGTTAAAAATTGTTGTTACTAATTCATAAGCTGACAAGCAAAACATTTGAAAGCGATACAAGCTCCGATGATGTGGCTAATTAAGTCTTGGGTTGTGAAGGTTTCCACGATCCAGGTATCTGTTTTTAGGAAAGAAAAATAAAACGGATTACATAGTGAGACTGTTTAAGACTAAAGTTACAAATAAAGAGAGTGAGAAAACCACAATTTTACAAAAACACAGACAAACCTCAACACCATGAGGCCCAATTCTGTTACGTGATATGAAATTCAGAACTAGATCCGCAAACTCCTCCGGTACATCTTCCTGCGTTTATTTACATCCACGTAGATTCATCATCTCGATATAAGAAAAATTACTCTTTATATATTACAATCGTAAATTTTACCTGTATGGCATGTCCGGTGTGTTTGACCACGATCATCTGAAACTTTCCTTGCATTTGACCAATTGTGAGTGTCCTAATCCAATCATCCACATCGTTATTACCATACGAATAAACTTAAGCAGACGTGAAGAAGCCTTAGTTTTAGAGGGACGAACACGAATCATATTACCTGTCCAACCTGTCAGTTCCAGCTAATAGCAAGAGTTTTGGAACAGGAGATGATAAGAACTTCTCCGAGAGACCATCGTACCTGCAAGGCAACTAACATTGTTCAAATAATCAATATCATAAAGTATAGGTATACGTTTGCACTTGGATTCCAACACTAATTGCTGTAACCAGCAACTCTAGTTATTCAACCGTATCAGCAACATCAAAGCCTTGGCTTATGTTTCATCGATGAATGATATTTTGGTGAAACTGGGTAACGAAGTTCTTGTCTTAATAGATTTTCTGTGTTGTGCTTAGTTGCTTACGAGTATGTGCACTAAGTGATTTACTGAAATAGAACATGAGGTAATGAGGGTCATACCAGTCTTTCCAATATTGCTCTGTTTCCGCTAGACGCGTCCGGTAAACATAGCTGGACAAAGGTTCATATTTTCACTCATTAGGAAAGCAAACATGTGGGGAATTTAAAATGGTGATGTTCAGCAAATAGAGATTCGCACCACTGTTTTGAATCATCATATTTGAGAGTTGTGGGGATGGAGACACGAGCAGAATCAATGTTCCTTAATGACCCTCCTCTAACGCTGTACTCAATCTGCAGATTTTATGCAGTTCTTTAGAGATGGTAGACCCGATAAAACTTACTACAACAAAGTCATTTGTTGTCAGCAGCTTATAGATATCAATGGTTTTTGTTTTCTTTTAGATATAAATACTAGATATCTTGCTTGTATGTACAGCTTAGCGTTTAGAAGTTACTTACTGCTTTTTGGATGCTGGGAAAATGTTGCATTCTATTTGAAAGAATTTTTTGCATGTGCATCAATGAGGCAATAGCAGTACCCTGCGATGAAAGCATATTGGTCAGTTCATCTCACAAGAGTGCAGACCAAGTGAGAAACAAATGAGACTCTTCTATAAGAAAGCAAACCTCAACAACATCCACAACGACAAGCCCAGCCAAGCTAGGCAATGCTTTGCTTGCAGCAACTTGCACAGCGACCGAGCCTCCCATGCTGTATTTTTATAACATGAAAATCAATTCATGAAAACTGGATTACAACACTTTTATTCTACAATAATTACGTAATATAAAACCAGTTCATGAGCTCATAAATATTCCATACTAGAGAAATCAAGTGAAAACCATAGGTTCAGTAGATGAATTGTTGTACCAAATAGATCGAGAACTACGAGAAAACCTTATCATTGATAAACACACAAATGTAAACAAACCCACCCACACACACAGACACACACACGACTGTCGCAATAGATTTTATACTAACTGATTATTTGACACTTACTGATACCTGAGACAAGTGATGAATGCATATAGAGAACTATCTTAAACTCTGCTGTATATGTTACAGGTACGAAGATATATTCGCTGGCGCACTGGAATATTTTTTTATCTATTCGCAACTGACCAAGCATTTACACTATAAGACAAAGTTCAAAATAACATACCGAAATGACAAATAAAATGGAAAAAAGTACAAACCTGTGACCAACTAGCACAATAGCTGGAGGAGAGTCTCCATACAATTCCTTGATCACCGCCAAAACATCATTGCTCATTGTCTGCATGTCCATCTCTTTACATCAGTCTCAATTCCCAGATACCAGCTAATGCATAACCGATGAGCAAATTTGTACTACCTCTAGCGACAACTCCAGTTCATTCTCTGAAACCGATTTACCGTGTCCTCTCAAGTCCATCGCAACCACACGTGCTTTCTCCTTGACTTTACCAGCCACTAAAGAAAAGGAGAGCCTGAGCAAAAACAAATGAAACTATTATATTGTGTTTTCACTGAGAATGGAAACGTAAACACACAACAAAACGAAAGTTCTAATCCTAATTCCTAAGAACCGTGATTCCATTTCAATTCTTTGCTTAAAAACTAACTCAAAAGCGACCAAAATTCAATCTTTAGCAGATTTAAAACACTCCTCCATCAAATGAAGTTAAACTTCAAGAGCCAAGATCAAAAACACTCACCCAGAGTAGCCACCTCCATGGAGAAAAAAGACAACAGGTCCTTCTGTTCCTGCCATATATACGTGAAAGACCTAAAACGATACGATACGTTCCATCAGAAACAGAGAAATTAAAACGTAAAAACATTCTTGAGACTTTACAAAAGAGCATTCGTTTAAACGTTTACATCGTCTGAGCCAGGGATTGATATATCGTCTTCCTTGTCAAAATAACTTGTCCATTCTACAGGCGAATACTTCTCCGAAGAGCTCCTGCAACATAAAACCCAATTCACATGTGACCTTATACAGTTCACTATTCACGTCGATCGAAATTAACCAAAAATAAAGATGCCATAGGAGAAGAATCGAGAAATGAAATCTACGAGAGGAATCAGTATCGAATGTGGTGACGACTCACGTAGAAGGAGGACGAAGAGGTCGAGCGGCGAAGACAGACGCCGGAGCTTCTATTGGTTCTTCGTCGGAGATATCTTCGCGAAGGGGATTCAAATTTGAAGAAGATTCCATCGATGGAAACTTCAGGTCACAGAATTCAATGACGGATCACAAAGCAAATAACCTCACAGATCTTCAGTTTCCACTGCTTCTCTACAAATTCGCTTATCTGTTTTTTTTTTTGTTTTCCCGTCAAAATTCAATAGCACGGTGACACCTCGCCGGAGAAATAAGTGGTATGGGCCGTATATCTATCATTGGGCCCATTTAGACCCATCAAGTTGAATTTTGTTTTCACTGAACACTGGCCGTTAAGTAGAGATGTTAAAGGATTAACCCGCGTCCAAATAGCCTGACCTGATGCGGGTTTAATTTTTTTCGGATCTGGCAGACTGGTCCATCATAAACTGCGGTTCCAAATTGATGTGTCCAAGTCCGACCCGTCTATATTCTGTGGTTTTGCGGGGTGGTCCGCGGGTTCATACTTTCTTCTTCATCTTAAAGTTCTTATGACATTTAGATTTATAATACCAGAAAATCTACAAAAGAAGAATAAAATTTTACTCGTAACTGAATCACAACATGCATAAGAAATAAAACTAAATAAATTCTTGTGTAAGCAAATTCGATGAACAAACAAATGAATTCGATAAATCTTTTATACAAAACTCCTAACCCTATGATACTATAAGATTTGAAAAATCAATTTAACGGTAAAAATAGACATTGAGTTTTGAAAAGCAAATAAATAAATTACAAATAATGATATACATAAAAACTGGTAATTTAAGCTAAATAACCTCAAGATATAAGCAACAAGACATTCACATATATATATAAAAAAAATGAAGAAAGCTTATTTGTTAGTCCAGCGTACAAACAAATGTGATTTTTAAGCAAAACTATTTATTGTCAATTCAAGATTTAAGTGATTCTAAATTACCTTTGTATCGCTGCGGACAAAAGAAAAACCACGTCCGTGATATAGTCGATGAGCAAAACCAACAAAAAAAAAACAAACTTATGACATTAAACTGAAATTAAAATTTTTTTTAAAAAATACTAGTTTTTAGCCGGGAAGACAATGACCAGATTTTCTTCCAAATTCAAAAATCCAATCACAGAATCTGAATCGAATATAATATAAAACACATACTAGTTTGATGATTCCTTGATCTCATTGAAATGAAGCTAGGCTTCACTAGGCTTCAGCTATCACAAAGCCCAATAGCTGAATTGTATGACTCTACTAGGCTTCGATTCACTCCATGAAACTACTATAGTACTTCGAAATCCACCAATCAAAAATGACAAAATACTTCACTTTTCGAAATTTACAAGAAAACATCAAATTTTGCGAGTTGGTCCGCAAACCTGCGGATCCGCTTTGATCCGATCCGCAAAAGTTTAACTTCCACGCGGGTTTGGACCGCAAAACCCGTATTTTATTTGGACAAATTTTATGGAGTTCAAGTCTGCACTGCTGCGGTTTTACTTGGCTGAATCCGCGGATCAGAGCCCAATTTGACACCTCTACTGTTAAAGTATGTAACGTTCAAATTAAAAGTTAATGGTATAAATTGAATTCGATTAAATTTGAGGGGCTTTGTTTTTTCTTTTTGAAACCTAAATTTCCTTTGTAGTTGTGTCATCATCGTCAAATTGCTACGGGCACCTTCAAGCTTAACACCGTCACAGAGCTCATCATCTCCGCCGCCGAACTCTTCACCACCGGTTCGTCTCCGTAAACTCCCTGCTTTGCGAACAGAAATAGTCTTTACTGGTTCAACGAATTTACTTTTTTTTTTTTTTTTCCTTATGTTATTTGTGTGATTTTGGTTTCTGTGTGTTTCTTAAAAACGAAAGAAAGAGGATCCGATAATATGTCGATTGTATAATCTAATTGAAATCAAATTCAATAGCTTTTAAACTTTTTGAGTGACTTAACTGTATAGGAGAAACTGTTTTCCAAATCAAGATTAGGATGTATATTGATGTGTATGAGTTGGTCATCGAAAATTTGATTTACATGTGTAAATGTGGTTTGCATTGAGCATATGGAATGTTATATCTTCTTAGAGAAATAATTTCTGAATGATGAATGACCAATTTCTACTCGATACTATCATGAAACTGTTCTTATACATTTGTTTAATAATGACCAAGCACAATCACTAAGACTAAGCATCTTAAACTGTTTCCTCAGGTTTGCTTCAACGGTGTTTAAGTTCATGGATCGATCTCTGAATCTACTCGATTTAGCCTTAGGGTTTGATCAGGAGCTAGCTGATTCATCGCCACTAACTGGGAAGGTAGTGCTCATCGAGGACTGTGTGGAGACTAGTGGTTCGTTTGTGCTTCACCAGCTGATGAAGCGTGTTCTCTCCCCTAACTCCTCTGATGCCCTTATCTTTCTCGCCTTTGCTCGACCCTTCTCTCATTATGATCGAATCCTGCGTAAACTGGTAAAGATCCACTCTCATCTTTCTTACATCATTATTCAGTTTTGAGATATGGTCTATTCCCTTGTTTTCTGCAAGGATTCTCAGTGTCTTACCATGTTCATGTGTTTTTGGGTTTATGTACAGGGATGTAATTTAGCGACTCAAAAGACAAACAATCGATTGGTTTTCGTTGACATGCTCATGATGAAGTGCTCAGGTGAGACTTATCAGGTAAACTATTGTTATCCTTGTTATTTGATTCTTCATTGATTTTCTTTTATCAGAAGAATTTTATACTGTGGAAAGTGATAAGTCTTTATAAAGAAGACAGAAGTAGAGTTTTGCCAATGCTTAATGTCACATTAGCAAAACTAGCAGTCAGTTAACAAGTTAGTTGGTCTTCGATCAATCATCCTTATGTATTAGACAAACTTATAGGGAGATCTTGTATTTTGTTTTTTTTTTGAGTGCCTTGGCCTCTGAGATAATTAGGAAATCTCTATAACTTTTGGTGATCTCGATTGTTTGGTCATTGGTTCTTCTTTATAAGCTACGATCTAAAGAAATAAAGTAGCATTGTGTTTCTGCTCCCTGCAAATCAGATTCGGAATCTATAAGAACGTGTATTTTGAACCCAAACGATGAGTTTTTGTGTCTGGCTTCGTTGTATTTATATTGTTAAACAGAAAAGGTCTCCGTTTGATTTCATCTACTTGTAGTGGATGTTTCATTGTTTTGTACTGTTGTGTCATCTTTATACCTTTTTGATAAAGTGCCCATAATTCTTTTGCTAAATTTCTTAAGCAGATGGTGAACAAACGGAAGGAAATGCGAGTCCCGTTGCAAAACTATTTCGAGAGATACAAGAAACCGTTCGAAAGCTACGCAGTGTAACTAATAGCAACATAACCGTTATGGTGGATGACATGTCTCTCCTGGAAATCGCTGCTACCAGTAGCAATTCAGATCACGTCTTGGACTTCTTGCACTACTGCCACACCTTAACTTCTGAAAGCGTAAGCCCAGAAGCTCGGTTTTTTTTTTTATCATCTACTCTTAAGGTAGGTTTTGCTTCTTTCGTGTCTTAACGAGCCATTCTTTAAATTTTTTCTCTAAAGACAGAAATGTTCGCTGGTCGTTCTCAATCATGAAGATATATACTCGAGCATGGAGAGACCTGCATTTTTGCTAAAGATGGTGTGCCTTGCAGATGTTGTGATAAAGGCAGAGCCTTTAGCCTCTGGTTTAGCAAATGACGTACATGGCCAAGTAATCTTCGATGTCATTAAGTTTAAACGTTTGTTTTGTAATTTCTTGGTGTCTAAACATTTTTTTTGCTGGTTTATTGCATATACAGTTGACTGTTCTGAACAAGGGGATAGGCAACTCGGGTCGAGGGGGAAGCTCGAGGAACAAGTTGCAGAATTTTCAATTCAGGATTAAAGAAAATGGTATCGAGTATTTCTATCCCGGGTTCAGAAACTGATGATTAGAGACCGATTCTAGTGTTTATCATCATGTTATGGTAGTGAGATGAATCTAAAACTTTGTTTTTTGGGTTAGCAAGGAAGCTGTTGCATTTAGGTTTTGGGAGATTCTTTACTCTGCTCAACATTGTTACCTTCTATTCGTCTAAAGTCTAAACTATTATCTGAGAAACAATTACTGGAACACCCGGACTCGCCATACTAAAAATCAATTCTGGTTTATTTAAATTAAACCATCATTTATAATTAAGCCTAATTCTAATCTCTTTTTAGCCTCTTTTTAACTCTCTGCAAACCCATTAATCTAATCTATTAAGCCCAGTTCAAACTAATCTAACTTAATATAAATACCTCTGATTCCTCATCAATTTCTAAAACCCTAGTCTCTTCATCTTCTCTCTTTTTCATCACTTTTTCTCTTAAACCGCCGTTCACTTCTGAGACGATTTCCTGGCGATCCGTGAAGCACCACGCGACATGTAATATATCAAATCGAAGCCCCGGAGGTAAGCTTTATAATGAGACCGGTCTCGCCCTGATCCGTGATCAGACACGAGAGTTATCGTGAACCGCGTATCGGGTGTCCAGATCTGCTCTCTCTCTCTTCCTCTTTCTCATCTTTGCCCTAATCTCTCCTCTCTCTCCTTTCAGTCGAACCTCTCTCTCTCCATTGCAAGATGTGTGCGCCTCTAACTCCTCCTCCTCTTGAATCCGAATCCAGTGATGGTGGATCTCCACTTCGTCATCCTTCTCCTATGCCATCACCTCCTTCTATTGCTTGCCCTTCTGTGCCAAGGTGAGGACCCTGTGCTTCACTCTCTCTTTCACTCCTGTCCATAGTAGTTAGCCTTTTCTTAGGTTAAGTACTAGATCTGTGTGCTAGGGTTAGATTATTAGAATCTGGTTCCTTGTTGATTGATTGTTGATGATTGCTGGTTGTCGGAGGAACCTTGATGACTGAACATGAACTTGGAACTAATCTATGAAACCCTAAAATATGGATTGATTGTGTGTGATCTGGATTACCTTGTTTGAGATAGTCTAGGTTGTGTGATATAGATCTGTTAGGTCCCCGACCCCTTCTGTGGTGATTGGGCGGTGTTTCTTGTTGGGCTAGTGGCTGGATTGGGCTAGTCCAACGGTGAGCGGAAGGTACGCCGATCCTTTCGGAGCCTGTATGGCTGAAGGCCTGTCTGTGTGACCGCCTTGTGACCCTTTCTGTGTGATTGGGGGTGTGTCCCTTTCTGTAGTGATTGAGGACGACTGATTGACCTTTACTTGTTGAGATCCCTTTCTGTGGTGAATGGGTGACCCCTTTCTGTGGTGATTGGGTGGGTGGAGTGACATTCTTGATGAGACGGTGATGCTCTCCTCAATGGGTTACGGTTTCTTTGTTATTTGGTAGTTGATTGTAGGGTTACCCTTGTTTGCTAGCTTGACTTAGGATTAGTCTATCTGCTGTGTCCATGATTGTTAGATGGTGTTGTGGGCCTCCTTAAGGTCCATCCTCGTTGAGTAATCTCAATTACTCACCCCTCCTTCTTCCTTGCTTTCATTTTCAGGTAGATCAGTTATGTTTATATTGTTAATTGCTATCTGGGCGTTTTCGAACCTGGGGTCCTTAACATGTCCTATTTCTCCGGTTATCTTTGGAAGCCTAGGATAGGATGTTACAATTACATTAGAAACAATTACATGGACATTTCTACACTCGTATAGGCAACACTATCTCGATCTCGATTTCCTGTCTCCGCTATCAAAGTTGAAATTTGTGACCGTATTTTGTAAAAAAAAAAACACGAAATTCCCTTACATATGAAGGACTACAATCCAAAGCTAGGTACTTGCCATTTACAAGCGATATACTAAGTGATTACAGATTAAACGAAATTAGCAATACTAATTGATTACAGATTAAATGAAATTACTATGCTAAATTGATTACAGATTAATTGACAGAATATTAAACATTGTATCATTATGTAGTCTTGGTTTCAAATGAAGAGTTGGGAATTTAGCATCGGTTTGACTAAAAAAATTTTAGGGTTCGATGATTAAAAAAAAAAACAGGCTAATAAAAGGTTCTCTATCCACTTGCGTTTTTGGCGGCTAGTCTCAAATCTCTCGATTCCAACGGATCATTCATTCTCTCTTTTTCTCTCTCTCTACAATTATCTTCGTCCTTTTTTTTTTCTTCTTCTTCTTTGACCCTTCTCTCACTTTCCGACCTCCGAGAAACCATCTATTCTCCATTTTTCCTTTCCCGAGAGAGTTAGTCTCCAGTTTCTCGGAGAGATCGGGTGTGTGCGTTTTTCTTCTGGGATTTCGTTGATGGACAATGTGATGGCGATCGAATAGCAATTTCCTCGAGTGTATTTTTTTCTTAATTGAATTTTTCATGGGGATATGCTTTAGCGCTGAAGAACGGTACCAATTTTCTCAGAAGACGATTCCAGGTATCATCAATCGTATTTTGAACCTCTCTCTCTCTTTCTGGGTTTTTGATTTGCCCTTGATTTTTCAATCGGATTCTGGTGATGTTCTATTGACAAAAATTCGATTCTGGCCTTCTGGGCATCTATCTTATTGAATTTTGGTTATAATTAGAAATTTTCTTTCTCTGTTCATTTTCTTACTCTGATTATATGTTCGTTTTTTTATCAAATTTTTAAAAACTCCTTTTTTTGTTAATGTCTTCAGCGAAATCAGGCAAAAATTCTGCTGTGTATCTAATGAATTCGGATTGTCAAGAATCAGTTGGTAAATCGAGTGCAACTTGCTTGCCTCTAGCACCTAAAAACATCAAGGATCTTCAGTCGAATCCTGGATACGAAAACGTCGATGTTTTCACCTACGAGGAGATGAAGACGGCCACGAAGCAGTTCAGGCCAGATTACATTCTTGGCGAGGGAGGTTTTGGAGTTGTCTATAAAGGTGTTATTGATGATAATGTAAGGGCTGGTTACAAGTCTACCAAAGTTGCCATCAAAGAACTTAATCCAGAAGGGTTTCAGGGAGATCGAGAGTGGCTGGTACATTGGATTTTTTCGATTTGTTGAATTTATCTCAAGCAGTGACTGATCACAAATTAGAGATTTGGACATGGGAATGTGTGGTGTTGGTATTAAAACTGTTGATATTGAATTTTTTGCAGGCTGAAGTTAACTATTTAGGACAGCTTAGTCACCAGAATTTGGTCAAGCTCATTGGCTACTGTTGTGAAGATGATCACAGATTATTAGTCTATGAGTACATGGCAATGGGGAGCCTGGAGAAACATCTCTTTCGAAGTAAGTTCCCCATCATCTAAAAAAACATGAAGATTGAAAAGAAAAGAATCTGCATGTATTGCCCTCTCTATAAATGATAATGACTTTTGTCATGATATTCACTTTCAAATTTTTTGCTATTATCGCATTAGTGGAGCATATTGGGTATGAGTTATTCTAGTCCTGTAGACTGAAGAAAGAAGTTAGGATCATATGAAATGCATCTTACAAAACCGACTCAACCTGCTGGTGCCCTACTAGTCAGAAGTTATGGAGACTATTATATTCAGTGGTTAAAGCTGAAAGTTACTGACGAAGATGTAGTTTCAGATGAGATGAGAGTTGTTTCAGATGGTTATATATGAAATTTAAATAATTGGTTAGCAGTTTGGACGACTCGTTACAGGGGAAGTCGATGGATATATTAGTTATTTGTCATTATGAATAATGTGAAGAGGATTTGATAAAGCTTATTGATGGATAAAATACAGATTGTGTTCCCATATCCATATTATAAATGGTTTTGACTAAATGTTTCTTCCCTTGACTTGCGTTGGCAGGAGTTGGATGCACTTTGACATGGTCGAAAAGAATGAAAATTGCGCTAGACGCAGCCAGGGGTCTCGCATTTCTTCATGGTGCTGAACGCTCCATCATATATCGGGATCTGAAGACAGCAAACATATTGCTGGACGAGGTCAGCTATTGCACCTTTTGTTTTGAAATTCTTGTTCTTCGATAGGTAGTGTACAATGGCATAGAGTTGTCAGTGAAACTTGAATTCTACAATGACCTGGTTCTCTACATTTTCGATTTGTCTGTCTATGCTGCTCCTGAATGGTGTAATGCTTGTGCAGTGTTACAATGCTAAACTCTCAGACTTTGGACTAGCAAAGGATGGTCCCAGAGGAGATCAAACACATGTGTCAACACGTGTTATGGGCACTTACGGATACGCTGCTCCTGAATATGTAATGACAGGTCTGTCTTTGCTATTTTCCACAAGCATTTCTCTGGCACCTACTAAAGTCACAGCTGTTTCTGTCTACCAGTTTTGAAATGACCCTTTTTAAGTATATGCATGATGAATCGATGATATGATCAACTGAGACAGGCACCTACTAAAGTCACAGCTGTATTTCTCTACCAGTGTTAGAAATTAGCCTTTTTAAGTATATGCATGGTGATATGATCATATTATGCAACTGCTTTGTAACTGGGTCATATTTGTGAATGTTTTACTAGGACATTTGACATCTAGAAGTGATGTTTATGGATTCGGGGTACTTCTCCTTGAGATGCTGCTTGGGAAAAGGGCGATGGACAAAAGCAGACCTTGCCGGGAGCATAACTTGGTAGAGTGGGCACGACCGTTACTGAACCACAACAAAAAGCTTTTGAGGATCATAGACCCCCGAATGGATGGACAGTACGGAACCAAGGCGTTGATGAAAGTAGCCGGTTTGGCATACCAATGCCTTAGCCAAAACCCGAAAGGAAGGCCCCTCATGAATCATGTGGTAGAAGTCCTCGAGAGTCTCAAGGAGGACAGCAATGTGCAGGAGGAAATCATGACTAATCTCCATAGCAGGGGTAAGTCCGTAACTTTATACGAAGCTCCTAGTGATTCCCAAGGCACTAGCGATGGAGATGGGCAGAGGAGAAGACCGGAAAGTAGTAGAAGAAGCAAGAGCGAAGCGTCGGTCAACACTGACAAATATGTTTCTGATCTCGTGTCAGATTCTGATCCGGATCCTACCAAAATTTAAGACTCCAAGACGGAAAGATTCACTAGTCATTTGAGAATGTAAGATAAGAAAGTAGCAGAGTTTGCTTAAATGTATAAATAAGTTGAGTCTTCGTTTTGGGATCTTTTATTTTTTTGGGATTACAAATATTAGTTCAATATTCAATGCAATCTAATCTTTGAAATTCAAATGAATTTTTGGAGACGCTTTGTTTGTGTTAGTTAACTTTTCTCTAAAGACAGAATTGGTCGTTGGTCATTCTCAGTATTCAGATGTTGTGATAAATGCAGAGACTTTAGCCTCTGGTTTAGCAAATCACTCTGCGTGAATCCCATCATAGATACAAGACTTACATAAGTTATTTCATAATATCGTAAACTACTATTCATAGGAACGACACAAACACATGTATCTCTATATTCTTCTGGTACATAACATGATATGAGACACTGTACAGACATGTATCTCTCTATTCTTTTGGGTACATAACATGATGAGACATTTGTATAATCAGCTTCTCATCTAAGGCTCAAAACCGGCCATGCGCCAGGAGAAGGCAGAGCAGGGCGGATCACAGGGACTCTCCTTACCTCTGTGAATACTTCATTGAGTCGAGCTGCCTGACTCATCACCCGCGACACCTTCTGCACATCACATAAACAAACCCGAGACGTGATAATGATAGATGAAGATTCCGCCAAAGCAAAGAACGGGCAAATAAGATGTTTGAACAAATTCAAAAGATCATATTAACTACAAAAATCTAAGCCAGGACAGGACAATCTTAGAACATTATCAAACTCATTTGCATCAATGCAACATAACAGAGTAAAGCTGACTCCTAAATAAGTATCAATCTAGACTATCTATAACCAACTTCAAGCAAAATGATAAAACAATCAGCTTCAATGTCAATATAGTGTACCTTATCGTCGATTGTAACTTTAAGATGGAACCTTTGAGCTTTCTTTTTCATATTATACAATCTGCGTCCCAAGAGAACAAGACCCATCACAGCTGCAGCCATGGAAACAGACCAAACAGGACCAATCCTAAATGCACAATACTTAACAAGCACAAACGGCATCTTCCACCACACAGTCTCTCTGCTTTTACTCTCATCACCAGATCTCACAGCCACAACATCACTATCAGAAACAATGTCATTTTCACCATTCACAATCCCAGAATCTCCAGAAACCATTTCATTTCCCTCTGAATCAGCCCGAGACTCGCTCGAATCCTCAACACCAGATTGGCTTGCATCATCAACTTTAAGATCATTTGATCCGGACACAAACTTGCTTCCATCTTCAGTAGATTCAGCAACAGTCTCGCTCTCGACGTTCTTCTCCTCATCGACAGCTCCGTAATCACTAGCCATGACCTCACCATCACAAGAAATCCCATTTTTCGAATCATTCAATTCGCTTCCGACACAAGCATCACCGGAACGCGAATCAAACCGATCCTCTCCTGGGTTTTGCCTCTGATTCGACCCGGATTCGACCCGGAACGAGTTATCGGGTTCCGAAACAGCGTATTGGGTCGGATCAGTGGTCTGACCAGATCTATTGATGAGATTATCGGCAGAGAAATGATCAGAAAGAATCATACCGTCATCGATTACATTTGAGCTACCCGATTTCTTCTCCGATGTGATTGAATCAGTTGATTCCGTGTCAGAGCCATGAAGAAGCTCCCAATCGAGCAATTCGTCTTCCATGATTAATCGAAGATTTTAGATTTCAGATTTCAGATTCGAAACCCTAACGAAAAACCCCAAATTTGCTTAGAGCGGTTGATGAACAGAAGAGAAGCGGAAGGTTTCTTTCTTATCCACTAGCGAATTGCGATGACGTGGAGAGATCTAATTGGTTAGGTAGTAGGATGCGTCTTTACTCTTTCAACTAGATTCGCGGCACGGCATTAAAGTAAGGTATGTTGACACGTATGGGGCTATGGCATAATTCGATATTTTTCGGTTTACTGTTTTAAAACACCTAATTTTTGGGTAGGGAAAGAAACGTTATTTTATTTTATTTTATTTTCGTTGGCCTTTTTAAAAAAATAGTATCTGTCATATTCAAATTGTATACAGATGTTGATAGATTTATATTACATCAAACAAATTGAACATCCAAACAATAGGGTTTTGTCCCAATTTTTTTCCCTTTTAATACTCAAAGCCCATCAAAAAAACTTTCAAGTTCGATTTCCTTTAAATGCTAAGTCTAAAAGTCTTTCTTCTATCCATAAATAGAAGAACCACGTCTTAAAAAGATCAGATAGTTATTTTGTGGCAAAACACTTTAAAAGAAAAGTCACTATAACCACTAAGAGATCAATCCAGCTTCTTGAGACATATCCAACCTGTTCTGACGTAAGAGAGATACAAGCAAATTAGATCGGACTGGCCTAAATATTGGTGAGAATAGTCGCGACTCTCTGATCTAGCTATAGCCGCTAGCAGATCTTCATTTAGAGTTGTCGTTTGAAAGTTGTGTGTTTTTCCGAAACAGATCCGCACATATCAGATTCACAAGAAGTTAACTTCAGAAACGTTTTTCCGACGATTCGAGAAGCTCCAGAAGGCGATCTTCATACCGATACAAAGCTCTTGAATCCATCTTTTCAGATCTACCTTCTCATCTCCTTTCCAAGACCTTAAGACGCCTATTCCAACTTGTTCTTCTGACCCATTGTAACTTCAACCACAAGACAAAGGTGAGGCGGTACTTGTGGATCTATAGGTTATCTTAGACAATTGTATATGTGTGTGCTGAACTTAGAATTAGAAAGTAGTTTGTAATTAAAAAAAACATGAATGATTGTTTGAAAACTGTTGTATGTATTGTTGATTGGTGTTAGTTTAGACGTGTTAGAGCGCATGATTGATCCCGGCCTATTGTTTGAAAAAGGACGTTTCGCGAAGCAGGACCATGGCTGGACCATACACAGCGGAAGTGTGGCCAGTACAGGAGCTGACGGATTTGTGAGATTTGTGGCTGACGAGTCACCAGATTTATACAGATTTATAGTGTGACGTTCTCGTGAGTGTGAACTTGTGTGCTAGGTTTTATTGTACTTGTGAAATATTTATGATTGTTGTTTGTCTAATCTTAGGTTAAGTAGACATATATGAAGTTATGTTTAATTCTTCGTATAGATCAAGTGGGCATGTATAATTGTGCTTATTGAGTATCTCCAAAATGCTCACTCCTCTGTTCTCTTTCAGGTGTCGTTTAAGAGATCATTTGACATAGAGTGCAAGTCAAGTTATTCAGTAGGGTTTTTCCAGTTTAGGGTATCTCACAAATCGAAATACAAATCCAAAATTAGGTAACCAAACATTTATGAAAATTATAAAGAAATAAATAAATTTCTCTGATGCTTTCTTCTTATTTGCCAACAAGTTAGTAAAACCGTTTATTTAATTTTTCAGAGTCAGTGATAAGTTTTTTTTTTTAACTTCTAGATTTTATTAAGAAACGACGTAATCAGCGTGTAGAGTAATCAACATAATTATGAAAAACTAATGATACATGGAGAGACATGCTTTGGCAAGTATATCTGCTGATTTGTTGCAGTCTCTTAGAATCCACTCAAATTGTATATCTTCAAATCTCTTTCGCTAATCACATACCTCACGGATCCACTTGAAGAATCCAAAGTTTAAGGTCTTCTTATTTAACAGATCCACTAGGCCTTTGCAATTTTGCATTGCTATTATTAAAGCTTGACATTCACTTTCTAGAGCATTAGTTGCGGCTGTGTTCTCAGCTTGAACGGCTCCTAAGAAACTCCATGTTCATCTCTCAAGATCATCCAGCTTTCGTGATTAACCTTGTGTTAACATATGACCCATCATAGTTGCATTTTATCCAGCTTTCAGGTGGACGTGTCTAGAGTGAATGCTGTGTAGGATTATGATGATTCAAATATTGCTGAGTTTTCTGTGTTCTTTGTTCCATATAATTATGAGTGTCCAGCCATTCTTGTGTATCTTCTTGAGCCTGTTTCAGAATTGTACGCCAATGAACATGTTTCTTTGATAGAGGAGTACTAGGTTACGACTCTTCCATAGGCACCATAAAATCCAAATAGCCAGTTGATGTACTTTCACCAGCATTGCTCTATCTCCATCCAAAATGCTCGTCAGCTTTGTATCAAAAGATACATTCCCATTGAAAATATTCCTATTTGGAAATCCAGAAGCTCGCCATAATGTTTGAGCATATGGATACTCAAAAAAATAGATGAGAGAGGGATTCATCATCATTGAGACATCTTGGACATGTTGAGTCAGTAGTCATATGACGTCTTCATAGACATTCACCAACAGGCAGAATATTTGAAACAATTTTCCGTAAAAAATGTTTAATTTTTGGAGCTGTTTGTAGTTTCAAAATCTTTTTTTTTAACACGAGATTACCTTGTGGTGGGTCTACTTTTCAGGTATCAATCGAATGCCTTGCAATTGCAAGACAATATGCAGATTTGACACTATATGTAACATCTCTATCCCAGGCTACTAAGAGGCAGGGAACCGGAAATGTTAGATCGGCCATCGAACCGGATCCGGTAGAATATGTGATTTGATGAGCACACAGGATCGCCAGGAAAATGCCCAGGTAACAATCAACAACATAGACTTAGGCTGATCTATCAACTACACCTGAAAAGACAGGGAAGAGGAGGGGGGAGTAATGGGGATTACTCAGTGAGCATGAGCCTTAAGGAGGCCCACAACATCATTAAACTAGCACAAATTGATTTTTAAGAGACCTAATCCTAAAACAAGCCCACACAACATATATATATATATATATATAAATATAAATAGATAGTTCATTTCTAACAATCATTCACACAACATACAAGGGTATCCCTACAAGCAACTACACAAGAAACAGGTCCCTAGTCAACACCAGTAACAAGTGAGCAGCCATGTGGGGCTCCCATGCCTCCCCGGCAAAGCAAACCAGAATAATTTCATCCAATGGCTGGCCTATTACCATACCCATTAGTTAGGTCTACTCTACCAGTCACTCAGACTGATCCACAGCAATCACCTAAGACAGACTGAGAACAACGGTCACTCAGACGGCTGTTCAAAGCGGTCACCCAGAAAGCTGTACCCAGCGGTCCCTCAGACAGGCTGATAATTCAAACAGTGGATCGCTCATCCACTCCAGCGTTGGCCCCTGCCGTGCGTTCACGACAGCGCATGCCAGCAAAAAACACTGACTCCCTACACCAGGAGCCAGGGGTCCTAACAAAGATCAACTATGCACAAATCATCCATTTCATACAACCATTTAATCCAATCTTTTTTTAAAGGTCCTTCCATTATTAATATGCACTTTCAGTGATACCAAGTTGTAACAAAAGGAGCATTAATCAGGTTAACATCACACAGTCAATATTTTAAAGTCCAAATAAGTTTAGATCCATGTTCAGGTTAACTATCTCATTCCACCAGCAACCAGCAATCATCAACAAACAGGCAACATGGATCCAGGTCCTAACAATTCTAACACCCCTAACAAGCAGATCTAAGCCTGATCTAAGAAAAGACCACTTAAAAGTCAATCATGCATATGTAAGAGAGGATGAAGCCACAAAGTCCTCACCTTGGCTTAGAAGGCTGAGAAACCGGAGGAGGAGGCAGAGGAGAAGGAGATCTAAGAGGACATCTATCAGAATCAGATCCCATCTCAACCAAAGGAGAAAGAGGCGGCGCAGACATCTTGGCTGGACAAGGAAGCTTCGGCAGAGAGAGAAACTTGGAGGATGGTGGTGGTCGCAGAAAGGAGAGAGAGAGACACGACCAGGAGAGAGAAAGAAAAAGAAGAAAACGCAGGGAGAGAGAGAGAAGGAGAGCAGCTCGGCGCAGAGAAGAGAGAAAGAGAGAAGAAAAAGGTGGCTATGGTTGTTTAGGAGCTTAATGAAGGTTTTAGGGATTTAATTAGATATTTATATGGAGGTTTAATAGGTGGGTTGGGCTTGATGTGCTCTTAAAAAGAAATTAGAAAAGGTCCAAGTAAAAAGAAAAAGAAATAGAAATGGTTTAATTTAATTAAATCGGGATTAGGAAACTGGTAACATCTGATCTTTGGTTAACCAAGAGTCGGGATGTTACACTATAAATCCCAGATTTATTGTAATGCCATCCCAACAAATCATACTCCTCTCTTGAATTAACTATGAGAGATAATACCAGTGAGACGTCTTCTTCAGCAACTAATTCCTTGATTTTATTCTTCATTCTATCCATTGTGACTGGTATTGAACCAATCTTTAACCAAACAGTGAGTTGTTTGTAGATCTTTGGGTTGAGGAGGTCGTGGGGGATGCATTGGTAACTAAGGATCCCATGCATTACTACAGAACCATCTCCAATAACAAAACGTAAACCGTGTTTTAATAGGTCACGACCTTGTAAGATAGATTTCCATATGAAAGAGCCTTTTTTACTTTCTCCTGCAATTAGGATATTCCTATCTGAGAAGTATCTTCCTTTCATATTTCTTACCATTAAACACTCTGGATGTTGTAAAAATCGCCAAGCTTTTTCACCAAGTAAAGCTAAATTAAACTTTTCTATGTCTCGAAATCCCAGCCCACCTTCTCTTTTGGGTAAACTGAGTTTATCCCAACTAATCCAATGTTTCCCTTTTTGTTTTTCACCTTTAGTCCACCAAAATATTGCAAGGATACAATTAATCTATTCACATATTCCTTTAGGTAGCTTGAAAACATTCATCGAGAAAACTGGCATTGCACTTGCTACAGACTTGAGAAGTATCTCCTTCCCTCCAC